TATAAAATAACTGTAAAGCTGGGATGCGCAATAATGATGGAATAACACGTTTCCTCCCTCCATCTGATATTGCGTGGTATCCATCAATACTTGTAACAATATGTACAGAATAATAACACGAACTATGGCACTTGCAAACTCGAGGTAACGAATAAATTACAGCCAGATCTAAAAATAAATAGTATCTGTTAAATCCATGAATGGCTGAGAGTAACACAAAACATTTTATTCTATCCAGATCCATTTACAACTTTGAGATTTATAGAAAGTTCTTATCCTGAATTGTATAGTGGAGATTAATCTCGTTGCCAATGTGTAAAAGTGTTAGATTCACGCTCTTTCTCTCTCTCTTTCTCCCCGTCCTACTTTTTAGCTCGTAAGCTGTATATTAAGTGGATATTGAGAGTCTAGAGTGCACAAATCTGCTACTGACTTTCTCTTTGGTCTATTGCAAGAAGGCACCTTGCTGAATAGCCTTTTCTTCCATTCCAGTCGGTGCATACATATTGTAGGCAGTTTGTATGGTGGGTGCTGGTGATGGTAGGTGACTGACTTGAGTATTCCGACCAGGGAAATATGTCTTCTTAAGTTGACATGAATTAGTGGATGCCCATATATCTCACCTCTTCCACCCTGCAAATGACATTACGGTTCACTCCTCCTTAAGCCCTTCTTTTCAATTTATTCCAACAAGTCCAGCCGACCCAAACTCTTCCCACTTTTATACACATTTACAGACCCTTGTCCAAGGAAAAGAACAAAATGAAACCATTTAAGGAGCAGCAGTAGAGCTCGTACGGACGGCATTTATGATTATGATAGAGACATGTACCTTAGTCGGCCGTATAGCTGTACGGACGTATGTGAACGGATGCGATCAGTCCCTGGCACAAGCGTGGCAAGGAATTTGTGGATGCTTTCACCCACCATAGCACAATGTTAGTTTTTGCTGGAAGGTATAGCTTAGTAGGTGCATGATGTAAGCAATTCCAGTTTATACTTAGAAGGTCTAAAGTGGACATGAGTCTGTATGAATTGGTCATTTGTGCCAGATGCAGCTTACATCTCCTCCATAAAAATTATCTAAATGCTCCACTTACAGCTGGTTCTAACCCCTTATTTCCTCAAACTAACGATAGAAGGAATGTCAAGGATACTGCTTGAGGAAACATTTAAATCCCACAATGTGATACTATTGTGGTTGTGGTGATTTAAATTTGCAAAATTTAGCTTCCGTATATCTATTAATTGTTAATTTGACAAAACTTCTTTCTCAAATACTTTCCTTTAGGATCATATATTCATCTCAAGCGAGCAAGCAAGAAATTGCGAGTAAACAAAGCTCTCTGCTCTCTGATGTACATAAGGAAGCAATTTATTTATTTGACATTCGTTTGAAGATCGGAAGCCTTGACTAAATAAAGTAAAGTAGGAGAGAAAGGAGAGAACGACGTCTTTGGTGATCATCGCGGGGTGGCAGTAGTGCTAAGGCAAATAGTTGGACAAGATTCCCAAGTGGGCAACAACACGCGTCCAGTCTTTTGCAGTGCAAGTGTCTTCTACTCGTCGTCGAAACTTCGTCTTATCTTTCCGATCCCTCGACGCTGGAACTTTACTTGAGTTGTTCTCAGCTAAAAATTACATTGATGATGATGATAATGTCCATTCACCTCTTTTCCTCCGCTATACGGATCACACTTTTGCAAGCGTTTTATGCAAGTGAAATTCACTTTCTCCATAGGATGCAAAGAGCAGGGAGACAAATCGGGGTCGCCGTCGAGTTGATCGTGTCGTGACCAATGGTCTATCTCGCCTTGTCCTCGGTCGTCGTGTTGTTTTACAGCTTGCACAAAACTTTCTTCTGTTTTTGGGGCCAACACGACAAGAACACGTATAGCGATGCTGGAGCATGGCCCTCTGCGAGTACTAAAAGTGCACAGAACCACCACGGATAACACCAACGATCTAAATTCCAAACCTGTTCTGTCCAGCTGTCGTGGTGTCAAATTCACTCAAAAGAATTGTCCCAAGGCACAAACTGGCTAAACGTTAACTTTTTAATCCCTGTCGTCCTTGCCGGAACAGCGAGAAGAAGGAAATCCAATTCTCTCCTCAACATCAGCAACATCCTTTCATACAGAAATTGTAATCGAAAAAAGTCTGAAAAAGTTGTAAAAATTACCTAGTAATAATTTCGAGTTGGATAAGTTTTGACTTTTTGACATGTTCATATTGATGTAAGGGTAAAAGTTAGAGATTGACGCTGGAGAAAGTGGATGTCGTTTGCAGTTTTATGAATCGCTGATATTGGCATTTTCCAGCAAAATAAAATGAAATAAGCGGAAACTACTTTTATCATCAAGCACATGCAGCAATACTTTTAAGCCAGTCAGGAGTAGGCAAGTACATGTGGAGCTTAAGGCCGTCCACATGATTGGCATAAGTGAATCCGAATTTTTAGCATGTCCATATACAAGAATGCGACATATATATACGTGTAACAAGTACTTTGAGTAACATTTAGCAAGCTTAAAGTATTTCTTGGATGATTTATTATCAATGTCATAGGACACAATAGGTCAAAATTCAGAAAACTCTTTGGGGTTGGAAACTTGTGTCGCGCATCGCTCAGCTCCATCCATCATCTTCATAACGAGCCAGAAAGCTTTTGATGACAAATGACACAGTTCGAAATTCAACTCAATTCAATACATCGCACAATCAAGCTTAAGCCAAGAAGCAAGCGTTCCAATACGTATATTTCTTGCATTTATGTATGTACATATACATATATTTCCAAACTGCATCAGCATAAGTAGATTTTATCCATGCAAGTACATCTGTGCAAAAACTATTGTCATTATTTCTTTAATTTTAAATGACATTAATATTCCCTTTCTACTGCTTGAGGGGATCAAAATAGATGCAGAACAGATCTGAGCGAGACATGGAATTGTATCATTATCGTAATTTAATATTTAAACCACCATTTTAAATGTCCCTCCCAATCTGCCCCTAGCAACTTTTCTAGCCCAACTCTGGCCGACTTAAGCTGCATTGGATTAGAAAGAAAAGTTTTCAAACTTTCAGACAATTGTGATCACTTTTCTCGAGTGGAAAATTCGGTCACTGAAAGAACAAAGTCTGACAAGGGTGGATATAGCGGTTAGTTAGGTTCCACCGGATCTTTGGGTTACCGTGTCATCTGCATAGTTTCATTTTATGTTCAATGAGATGGAATGAGTCTACGAAAGAGTTGTGAGGAAATAAGCGGGGAAAGTGCTTTTGCACTTTGCAGGCCAGCAAGATATTCCGTACAGTTCAGGAGGACATGACATTGTAACTTTAGCAATGTAAAACAGGAACGAGCCAACATTCCAAATTGAAGGCGGAAACAGTTTGTGTAGTTGCTGGGTCGAATTCTAGGCTGAAATTGCAGACGAATTTTCAGTTTGTTGATTTTCGTTGTTGGCTGGAATTGTATGAAGTTCGAGTGTTCATGCTTTACACAAAAGTATCCAATGTTATATAATTAGTGGTTGTTTGAAATAAATCTGGAAGATCACATTCACCATTCATGAACTGCATGTACAATTCAAATCCCATGCCATTTATCTCGAGCAAAGAAATTTGTTATAGACTCGTCTCGAACAACAAACCCCGTTGATGTTGATTGACATGAGAATTTTGGCCCAAATTTTGTCCACGTAATCCATGAATTGGGACCAGCCAAAAGTGATCTGTTCCTGTCAATCAGGATTGAAAATAAAACACGACACAATTAATGGGCGTTACATTCCAACTGCTGTTGACTTCCCAAAAATGTTTCCTGGATTTCCCTCCCACTTTTTCTGTCAAACATTAATGCAACGTTTGTGCAATTCGATCTTGTTTTCTGCAAGCATGCTAGCAAATTATCAGTATTCGCAACTTTCAAAATATGCAGCAGTAATATTTTTTCCTCAACAAGTTTATATCTACGTAAATACAAGGCAAAATCTGTGCAGTGCAATGTATGCATGTCAGGCGTACAACTATTGTAAAATTGTAGGAGTTGTATGTATGTTCAAATGTTCGTGTGGATATCCACACGGGCTGATGTAAAAAAAATCGATATTATAAATGAAATTTCGACTTCTGTTACTATTTACCCAAACCAAATACGAGAATCTACTTTCCATTTCGAGAACATGCTTTCGTTCCTTCCTTGACATTTTAAATGCACGCCCGTGTGAGTTGATGGCTTTAGCTTTATGGAGAGTAAAGTGAAAGACATTTTTCTCCTCTTACGAAAAAAGCCTCAACCAAAGAGTCATTATTTAGTCTAAGTTGAAAAACTTGAAGTGTTTGAAAGTTGAGAAAGCAACAACACCATTAACTCGATAGAAAAATATATACCGACACAAAACTAACTAAATCAACTTTCACTTTACTCTGTATAAGTGGCTTATCTTTTGTAGTGCGAAGTTGCAAAAATGCGAAGCAGCAAGTCTCTCAGTTGCATGGTTTGTTTGTTGTTTATATACAACCAAAGCCTGTTGATTTATTGAGTAAATGACAAGTATATAAAACGGGTGACATGTGGCTTTTGAAAAAAAAACTGGTTACACGATATTTATTTATATAGCTGAAATGAATGGTTGTTCGCAATTGCATACATTTTTAGTGCTAAAAATGTAATCCGAATCTAGTCATTGATAATATTTGAAAGGAGATATGTGTCATAATAATAGTACTGCAACTCAATTTACACGAATTCCTCTGCTGTAGTCATATGCAGACAATGCATATCTGGGGAATCGCTTTCAGTAGACCTACAAGTGAGATATCTCATTGTCTCATTTTACTTGAATAATATTTTGGTGCAGACTGATAAAGCTAATGAAACATACAAAACTGATCCAGTGCATGTTATGAAAACTGTTCGACCACTCTGATGCTGATGCGATTAAAAGATGTTGGATGAAAAACTAATCCAAATATTATTATTATTATTACAGAAGACCCCGTTGAAAGGCTGCTGCGAATGGTGCCAAATGGCTGAACAAAGGCACTCCTACCTCTTTTCAACGCCAACAACCACCACTTTCTCCCCAAGCCCCATACTCTGTCGACGTGGTCCTTGGGGTGGCGGTGGCGACGACGACGGTGACAATGGAACTCCTTCTTGTACCAAAGTTACCACGAAGAGGAGAGTGACAAGAAGACTGAGCTCAAATAAATCCGCATCATATTATTCGTCAGCGATAACCATGCCGCTTTTCCTTGTTTTTCTGGTCATGATTGAGCTGTCGCTGGCAACTCCTGCGTTTGGAATGGCGCAGCAACACTTTAGAAGAACCCCGGACAATCAAACTGCAACCGTGGGCGACATGGTCACCCTCGCCTGTTCCGTCATCAACAAGTCCGGAGTGCTACAGTGGACAAGGGATGGATTTGGACTCGGCACTGAACGAAACCTTGTGTAAGACTTTAGGAATTTAGTGCACAAGCAAAATTCATGGGCATCATATTTTAATAACGACAGTTTTGTTACCTTCACCCCCTACAAGTGCAATTGTGTAAAATGTTGTCTTTAATTTGTCCAAATGCCAACGACTTATTTCATTGTTTGTTTTTCAGTGGTTATGAAAGATATCGAATGCAGGGAAGTGAAGAAGAAGGTAAAAACAATCTAGAAATTAATCCAGTTATAATCTACATGATTATTACAATGGATGTACTGTAAAATATCTGTTTATATCTGATATTTACAGGAGATTATACCCTCGTAATAGACGAAGTGACTCTAGAAGACGACGCAATATTTCAGTGCCAAGTGGGGCCAGGTATGAATTGATTGAATTGAAAACTGTATTTAGACCGTAGAATAATATCGACGCCAATAAAATAAAAAGGAATATGGAGGGATGCGGAATATGTTTGGAATTAATATTCACTAATTCACTTATCGCCATTTTTGTAGGTCCTCCTGACTCTGGGGTACGAGAACTCAGATCAGCCGATGCTAAACTCACGATAGACGTACCCACAGGATCGCCACAAATTTTACAGGGTGACTTTCTTCAAACGGTGAGCATACAAAGCACTTATCAAGTAAATTAGAAACGACAAATGAACAATTAGAATGCAGCAAACTATTTCAAACAACATATTTATTTGCCGTATTTAAATTTGAATTATTTAATTTTCAGACTGAGGATCGAGAGATTCAACTGGAATGCATTTCACGCGCAGGGAAGCCTCCTGCTGAGGTATGGGGGTCGAATAACCTTTGGTCATCATTTTCTTAATCTAATCCCATTTACCATCTGCATGCCCATAAAGGAAGGGAAAGAGAAAGACGGAGAAAGCATCATAATTTCCGTCGGAGAGAACAATGCACCTAGAATCACCGTCGTTAGGCTTAAGTTTCCCCTTCTCTCTCGCTTGAAGTTTATGTCCGAGTTCTTAAGATTCAATGAATTTTGACAACAGCGAGTGTGATGATGGGACATTTTGGAGGAGCGTGTGGCTAATTTGAGGCTTGAAAGTAATTTCTATCCATGATGATGATGATGATCCTTTCTCCTTTTTGTCCCGTAATAATAATGGTAATCTTGAGAAAGTTGACATAGTTTACCTCAGCTCCTTTCTCTCTCTACATACATACACACACACCAACCAAGCCAACCAAAGGGCCGTGCAATGCAATGTGGTTGAACGAAATCGGACTAGATGAAAATTTTAATGAGAACCAAAAACATTTTGATTGTAGATTCACCTTTGTTTTTGTAATGTGGGTGATGGAAGCGAGAACAAAGTCTTATCTTGCTCCGCAAACAAATTTTCTTCCTTTCCCACAAACTCATGGTTGGTTTTGGTGAGGATGAATGAAGGAGAAAGTTCACCCACCGCATTTATTTGACCAAGTTTGCTATTCAAATTTAAGCAAAAGTGCCTGAACTCCAAGTTGACGAGGATGTTGATGGTACTCGTAACGATTATATTTATGATGTTCTCTTGCCTCCATCATTTTCAGGTATGTATGTCGTCTAACGAGTACATATATGGAAAATGGGGGAAAACCTTATGGGGTAAAAAGTTGCTATACTGCACATACTACATATTTCAAACTGCATAAATTTATCAGAGAACTAATTTCATAATTTCTAAAAAATCGAATTTTACTAAAAAAAATAAGATAGGATTGCAACTTACAAGTTCTTGAAACGGGATATACGTGCATACGTATGCCATTCCAATTTCAATATTTATTGTTTTTTCTCATTTTAATATAAAACCGTAAATAGATATTCCACCCGATAAAATAAGCTTCACGTTCATGCATTAAATAATAGTTTGAAGACGGCAAATGGAGACGGAATTCTGCGAAAGGAGAAAGTGCATTCAGAGACCATATTTCAGTCCACCATTTGAGAAAGTTTTATTGAGCAAGAGAATGAATGAAGAGATGATGTTGATAATTAACATGGCCATAAAAGAGATAAAGATGAGCTATGAATACAAATAAGAGGAAAATCCTCGTCGTCGTCGTCAACCAACCAAACTTCTTCCCAGCACGCATCCACCAGCAGGAGAGAGAGAGAGAAATTCAAAAGTTGGATTTGGAAAAAGCCATTCTTTGTCAAGAGCGAACTCTGAGTGAATGAATTGTGGGCTCGACAGCAGGGAACCACCCCATAAAAGCTAGAAAAAAAGTTATATTAGCTTGCAAATACGGTAGGAGAAGCAGTGCTGGATTATTTATCACTACATGTTCCACTGTGGTTCCACCATCATTGCAAATTTGTAAATGCAGACCCCTTTCGCACAATGAGCCAATCTATTCCTGCCTCTTGTTTATTTTGTATATCTACTTATTTTAATTCGTAATTTTAAACTGCTCCTCACCATTCAAATCCTGTTCGAATATGTTTGGCATCTGAGATTTATTCCATGCATTATTTGTAGGAATTTCATTTAGCATGACAATAGTCAATCCATTGTGAGATTTGTGCCATTCTAAATTTAAATGTGAAGTGAAATGGAGAGTGATGATAAGAGGAGGAGAATAAAAAAGACTGCCATATTCCACTCTTCCAGCCTGTCTATTTAGCTTTAATGACAAGATGTTCACAGTCTTTGCACTTTTTTCAAAAATTTATGGCTAATTAACAAGTCGGGCAGAGTTGAGCTGAGGAAAGAAAGGTACGCGCAAATGTGTATATAGGGTTGATGGCGGATATATGTACATCCTCCGGCTGCCTGTTTTCGAATATACGCTCTCTCACTGATTCAGGAATGATTCAACCATTCTTTCTTCTAAATCACGAGACGACTAAATTACCGGCATTTTAGGAGTGGAACACCCATTCCGAACTCTCATTTGCATATTTATAACCTTTCTTCAGAGGGAATTTACCACGTTCTTTGTTCTTATTTTATTCTATCGTCGTCTTGAAAGACATTCCATATCGCACGAGAGATACGAAGCCCATGTATTACTTACACAATATGTACATGTCGTGCTATATTTATACGAGTTATTTCAGATGATTTATTTTTGCATGTCGCTCAGTCAGGCACATTCAATTGAATAACAAAAAAAAACTGAGAATTGTGGAGACTTATGCACATTACTTACTTGTTAATAATAATGAACTAGGATAGTCTGCAATTATTTTCGAAACTTTGAAAAGTTAGTTTGCATAATCTTTGAAATTGGAGAATTTTTTGGCATCAGACATATTAATCTTACTCCGTGACAGATATTATAGTACAATCGTGCTTGGTTATAAAACAGCGGTTTTAGATCTAAATGCTATGCAATAAAATTGTCCTGCATAAGAGGAAATATTCTTGGAGTAACCACATAAATAAAATTTGTGTTACGAACCTTTACCTATACTGTAGACACATATGTCTGCTGGCTGTGATACGTTAGAAAGGAGAAAGTAGCCGGATGATAAAAAACCACTGATAAATCGACGTCTTATTTACCAAACCTCCCACTGCGGTTACTTCCGTCTTGGAAAGTAAAATTCCTTTGTGATGTGGATGGAAATCATTCATGTTTTCATTTCCACAACAATGGTCGTCCCACTGCCAATATCAAAGTATAATTCCCCTTATTTCCGAAAAAAGGTTGTATGCAATTTAGTGCAATTTAATATGTCCTTTAGCGAGAGGCAGTTGTCAGAATGGTTGTGGATTAGGAGAGGAATTGTTCAATGGACACGAACAGAAGTAAAGAAAGACAGCAGAACCCCACGGGATAGTGAAAGCAAATGATTTCCTAATTGTTTCCTGTCACAAATATCGCTGGGGTGCGGAAATTCCAGATTCTATTAGAAAAATTGCTCCACCACGGGAGGATTTAATTTATTATGGTGGATCGTGAGTGGGGATCTAAAAGCTATACCGCTTTACAACGATCGAACCATGGTGAACGTGCAGCAGAGTGTAAATACATACTTACCCTTCCACTACCCAATACTACACTGCGTATTCGACGGCGGAGTGTGAGAAGTGAATGGAGAAAGAGATGATTAATTGCGTGTTGATGTGACTGAAAAGGTGTCATAGTCTGGAAATCCTGTCCTCTTGAATTGCGTGGTAGGCATTGCGGTGGTAGATTCACTTTCTCCCTAATTCCTCACTCACTCAAGTACTCTCTCCTGCCTAATATGCGATCCCATAATAATTGCATTATGGTAAGTCTTCTCTCCCCCACACAATCTTGTTGCAATTCTGGCTTGCTTGACGGCGAGATGATCACGGTCATGTTTACATTTACAGAGAAGAAACGCATCTTCTGACGTATTTAGATGCAGATTCTCTCTCGTTTTACTTTTTTAAAATGTTAGCTACCTTTTCATGCTAGAAGAATGTAAAAAAAAAGTAGAATATGCACAGGCATTGTTCTTGATTGCGTCACGCATTGCGACATCGAAGCAGTTTTCGTTAAGTAAAATGCCACACGGATGCAAAGGTACATGAGCAGTGTTCTTGTGCCAGTTTTGGCGTCCAACATCTGATAAATTTATAAAGTGACAACTTGGAGTTGTTGGCATTTGTCCGTTGTCAACTGACGCTCGGACTCAACGACTCAAATGTCACGCAATCATCATAAAATGTGAGCTATGTGGCTGGCAGGCAGAATCCGGTCTGGCTACTCTTTCTCTCTCTTTCCCTGTTATATAAGTCCAAGGCATTGTTAGCGTACTCAATTATAAGTCAAGTTTAATTCCCTATTGTTTATCTCTTTCCAACAGATCACATGGATTGACGGGAGTGGACAGGAGATCAAAACTGGCGTGGAACCGATAAAAGAGCCATTGGACGACGGCAAGCGTTTCAATAGTCGCTCCATCTTAAAATTCCAACCAAAGAAGGAGCATCATAACAAAACGTAAATTTTAAATTTTAAATTATTTAATTATGGTATAATAAAACATCATAATGAAACATCATAATTAAATATTAATTTAAATTATCTTTATTATAGATTTACTTGTCAAGCTCACAATCGCCCTGCCAAAGAAGTGATGAGGTAATAATCATGAAAAGCTTGACTAGGAACTCATTACCTTGAAGTCGAAAGTTTTGAAATATCACTCATGCATACTACATAACATACGTATATATGCATAAAGGTATATCTGCATACGTAGAATCTACATTTAAGTATTTTTGCAAATTCAAAGTGTTTCCATCCGGTTGGAAGTGAAGTACGCTCCGAAAGTGACGGTGAAGATCCAGTCGCCCAAAACATTTGAGCATGACACCGTTCGAGTTTCCTGTAAGGCAGACGCCAATCCTCCCGATATGATATTCAGATGGTTCCGGAACGACCAAGTCATTGCTGGAGATCACGGAACCCTTCTCGTCCTGCACAACGTGTCAAGGAAGCTGGATGACTCCATCATCAAATGTGAGGTGCAAAATTCTGTGGGAAAATCAGAAGAGTCGGAGACGCTTGAAGTATTTTGTAAGTTCACCATGTTTTGTTGTGCATTTTATTACGTTTGAGCACCTAAATATGTGAATCTCTGTCCAAAAAGGGTTAAATCTCTTTTGCTAGTTCACTCATAATGTGTCATGATTGGGTGGAAAATGGATTGTTATATATGCACATGTGCCAAACGAAGGAGCCAAAGTATGTGCCGAGTAAAATCAATTTTTGAACCAGTTGGCTAGATTCAGGTTTTGGCATGGTTTCCGTAAATGTGAACGCGGAGCGATAGCCGATGTGAATGAATAGTTGAATTTGAAACATTTGGATACCTGCTGCTGCTTCCTTTGAACGTGGAGAAGGAAATCTGGAGAAAAGTTGAGTTTGACTTGGCTTGGCTCTGGGGAGTGAATCTTGTACGAGATGGATATCAAGCAACGCTCCAGCTCGTCAGTCACACACTTTATACAGATGCTGCTGGGGTGAAGTGTATCGCTTCATGTCGCCTTGTCGTGTCATATCGCATCATTAGTTTAGTTACGTGCCATCACCATCATATCAGCCCATGACACGCCACCACCACTGCAACTTCAATTTGCCCCTTGCCTACTCTGCTATGACGAGAGACCAACTTTCTCTTGGAAATCTTGTAAAACCCAAATTCCAATTTACCTCTATCCACCAATTCGACTACCTAGCACTAACCTCCATGATATCACACTGCTACTTCCACTCTCACTTCTTCTTCTGGTGTCTGTGCTCTCGTTTTGGGAAGTGCAGAAGAGAAAGTTGAGCCATATTTTGTACTCTACCATATAAGGAGAATTTACAACTACCACCACCTCCATGCCAAACCATTGCATCCATTGCAAGATAGCCCTGTAGCCAAGCGAAAAGCTTCTGGTAGATATTTGGAGGCCTTCTCCTTAACTCAACCCAGTTTCCTTACATTTTATTTAGTAGGGTGAAATGAACGTGTTCCGAAAAAATTCTCGAGGGATTGCTTTCCCAGTTTCTTTAAACGGAAGGCAAGGTGTGTAGCGTAGCACCGTTAATTTAAACTCATCACTGTGGGTTTCCACTTTCTGAAATGAACAACCATGATGATGCTTATGTTGTTTCTCCTTGACCTGGTAAAAGAGAAAGGAAGTCCACGGCAATACGGGTTAGTCACTGGTTTGGTCACTACTAGTAGACTTCCTTGGCACAGCATTGCAGGCTGAAAACTTACAAGTTATCAAGAAAAATTATGAAATTTTGCAAAATTATACCTTACCTTCGGGTCAGTTTCATAACATTTGTAATATTTCGGACGCCTTTGTGAAAACTTTTTTGTCTACTTTAAGCCAGAATATGCTAACTTACAAGTCCTTCCTCGGCCAGACCCTTAATGCATGCATGCAATATATACTTTTTAATAATTGGTCGAGACTGCATACAAAAATCTCCGTTACAATTTAGAAACTTTTGAATATGAGTTCAAGGCGCATTTTCTCTAAAAATGGTTCAATCATTGTAAATTTGCACGGAAATTGAAATGAATGTTGAACATGGACGTATGTATCTACAAGAGAGCGCACAGTTCGTTTAGTTACTTTTGACTAAAAGGTCTACATAGATTCAAACTTGTGTAAAGAAAAAGTTTATTTTTTCAGCCAGCATGCATACATCCATATGTGCCGAGAAAAGTGGGCTGATCCTCATCTGTCGCTTTGATGCATTTTTAGAACTATGTAATCAAAAAGTTTTAATAAGGCTCCGAGTTGGATTATATATTGAAAAATTGCGAGTGGGTGGTGGCGACCCAATTAATCGTTGAAGTTGCTTCAAAAAATTGCATATTTTTAGAATTGTAGATTTTGGATCCCAAGTCCAGTTCAGCAGCACTGCAGGATTACTTTAGCATATTATGTAAATGCCTTGTTGTTAAAAAAGTTGTATTAAATAGCTACGTATTTATTTCCATCCTTATTATTATTACTATTGCTATATTACCATCGGAAAATTCGTCATCGAGGTTTGCTCGCTATGTACGTTCTGCGAAGGGAAATGACAATCTGTCGTTCTATTTATTGGATTTCTTTGAAGGGATCTTCGAAACACAGCTTTCTGAACTCCGCCTAATTGCACTCAAACTCCCCAAGGAGCAGAGAATACCAAAGTAGATCCGTTCCTCCTATAGGTTTCTCTCGTCTCCTTCCTCCAGTCATCAACTTGTCAGTAAGCAACGAGTCAAAATGAACCCTTTTTAGTCACTCACATGAACATCTCTCTATTCCTTCGTATTTAGAGATTTGGTTGACGTTGAGCATTTACTTAGTTGATGCTATCTTTCTGGACCCTGTTTCTCACGTCAACGCAAGTCTCACATGAAACGTCGTATCATCTATATCGAAATATTGAAATGACTCTTCCGTGCCCGACTTATCTTCTTGGCATGCGACGATAAGACTTAAATCTACTCGTATTTCATTTCACTCTCGCGTATATTCCTCCTCATGAAGTGATCTTGAAGAGATGGAAAAAGTGGATAAATAAAACAGAAAAGTGCGGAGGTCTGTCAAAGTCAACTCGGTTTTCAAGAGATGAAAGTTTATCAAACGATAAGCGATATACTCTTTTGAGGCATAGGTACACATATCCTTTGGCAGGATCCCTTATAGGCAAATGTTTGTGGATACATGAGATTTTTTTGGATTTGTGACTTTCTTCATTTTTACCCTTTGATCCTTGGAGACGCTATGGTCGTGGTGGTGGATGGTTGATTTGTGTCAGCTTCATCCGAGTTGATTCGCCTCTCTTTTGGCTTTGTATAATATTTCTCTCGTCATTTGCTTTGGAATCGCGAATCGAGTTGAAAGTGTGTGGTCTTGTGGTTTTGCTAGTTGTTGTTAGGAGGGAAAGGTACACAATTTTTCGACCTTGTTTTCGGCATATTTATTCAGACAATATTTATTTGGAATTCGATTTGAGACGTCGAAATCAAAATTTAAATATTTCCAATCTGTTACCTAATATAACATCAAAAATTATTCCAAACACATTCTCATGCTCTAGAAAACCCATGAATTTTAACTTTTAATACATATGTAAAATAAGTACCAATGTGCAAAATACATGTGTCGGTAGTACATGCTTTACTGGTTCCAGATTTGTCCATAAAACAACAATATTTGTATCATACACAGTAAGCATATGTAGACATGCTTTAACTTATAGCATCACGAAAATCGAGATTCATAAACTACACAAGATGCGAATTTGATTTACATACGTAGCTGTAAAACTTGAATATTTAATTGAAGGTGTTTGCTGTAAGACGTGAATATGTTTTCATTGTTTGATATCATCAAAAGTTGATTCTGACATGTTACCAGTTGACTTTTGATGGACATTTTGCATTATTCGAAAGAGTGACATACGAGATGAACTGCGTCTCCATAATGTCAAATCAAAATGCCACGCAATAGAAGTGATCATACGTCGAGTATGACTGAGGAGGTTGCTAGTTTGCCTATTCTGTTATGTTTCCTGGGAGCAGCAGACGTTCAAATAATTTAGACGATCACACTTTTGGCCAGTAAATTACGATTTGTGATGACACGACTGAACCAACTCAAACTCGATGAAGTGATTTGTGGCCACGCACTTTTTCTTGGTGCATGTGCATCCTTTCTTTCATCCAATTTGTTTCGTGTGTGCTCCTCGCCTCCTTTACAACACGAACGAAGGATGTTATTAGGCATGCACTATGTATGAAGGAGGTGATGACTATTGCATTGCGTGCTGACGTCTGGTCCGTTCCATGCCTTGTTCTATTTCGAGTTGTGGCAAGGGAGAAATTTCTTATTTTATTTCGCTGGAAATGAATCAAGTGTGGATGAAATGACACAAGCGCTACCACCTCCTCATGAATTTCTGTTAGTTTTGGGATGAATAAACGAATGAATTTTTCTTCCGTGCACATTCTTTCCAAACGGAAAATAAGTATAGACTGAAGTATGTACAGGCAGGTAAACCGGACTGTTCATAAATAAATAATTTGCTTTCTTTCTCCCATTCCACGTATAATAACTTGCTATCCGGTGGCTGAAAATAGGGGATTCAAGTTCAAAGTCATCCTCTCTGCCCAAGAATTGTACGTTGTTCGTATAACATATATCATTGCTGACGCGAAGGTATCTACGTCAGGGAGAAAGCAGCCAGAGTGAAGGTCCTCACGCATCTATGCAACTATGTATGCATAAGGCTATCCTCCTCGTAGCGCGTCCTTTCATCTGTCTCTTCGTGGTCGGCATAAGTCCCTCGTGTATCACAATTAGTTATGTTACTCACTCGATGAGCAATTGCTCTGCTACTTCATGATGTCACTGCGTGTAGCCGGTAAAACTTGGTGTGGTGGTTGCAACGGTTTCTTTGGTTGAGTTAGGAGGATAAATTCCACGTCAAACCACATCGACCACACCGCAAGAAATTTAACTTCCTGTGGTTGTGGTAGCTTGGTCGCTGTATTTTTCGGGTTTACAAGGAATAAATTCCACATCTTTCTTTTGCCCCTCTACACACAGGACTTGGTTAGTCGGTTGGTTGGTTGGATGTTGGTTGGCGAGGTCTCCCAGAATGAAACGCACTTTGCATTTTTAAACAAAATAAGTCAATGTCGAATCCCGCTACAACTTTCCTTTGTCGTGATCCCGTTTGACGTCCTTCCTGTCTGGGTGTGGTATCATCGTTGTCTGATATGCATTATGTCGTCAAAAGCATTTATTCTCTTGTTGCGTTAATCAAAGTCGGTATGCCGGGGATAACGTATTTTTTGGGGGGTGGGGGAAGAAAGACACAGTGAAAGATTGTAATACGGCAGCTGTTGGGTCTCACGGCAATCTTCTTGAAAAATAAAATATAAACCAAGTAATATCGACGTTGATTGTTTTAATATTTTCCACGATTTGTAATTAATTTGGCTAGATAAAACGTATTTATTGACAGAACCATGTGGTTCTTATGTCGTAAAACATCAACTTGTCGTACCATCGTCCTTTATTTTGCTTTTAGCTAAACTGTCTTTCTCCGCCTAGGTTCAGTAAGAAATTATATTTCCTTCTGTATGCAAGAGGTGAGCAAACAGTCGGCCGTCGGTGTTCCACTAATGGCCCATCTTAACCCTCTAATAGCCAGATCAAATTACATTCAACATTAGACATCACATTTGGAGTGAACATGAGTTTCCCTCTTAATTCCTGGCTTAATTTCCCAATTTCTGATCCGGAACCAACCAGGTGCTAATGATTTCTTGGTTCGCTGGAGCCCCAGCGAAATTATGAGTCCAACAATTTAGCAAAAGACTACTTTTACCTTCTTGTAATGCAACCTGACTCATGGTGCACGAGTGAATTAGATGGATGGAGCACACCTGAGTGTATGCATATGTGCGTGTGCCTACACGACTAACCAAAAAGACATAACAATCCAAATAGTTAGTGCATTTAATAGAAGAAGAATGCCATTAAAGTAGTAACAGTGCTATTTAATATAACCGACGTGCGTGGGTCCATGAATTGCTTAATGGAATATTGGTGCACAGATAGTGGAGTTACGCTACCCGTGTGTTTCTCATGCCCTCAAGGTTATTGAATATCGTTTGGTTCGGCATGTTCCCTTTGATTTTGAAATTCAAACTGGACTGGAAACAGAAACGTGTTGAGAATCTAAGGAGACTGTTATCGCCTTCATTATCTTTGGAAATGTGATGTTAATGTCGGTTTGCTCTTAAACTTCTCACTCAAAGCATGTAAATTTGCATGCAACGCCAGCCATTGTAATGACAGATTCAAGCAGTCAACAAAGACATTGCGGAATGCGAGGAAATAAATGATTAGATTCTTGTGTGCTATGTATTTGTTATGTTCCCTGTGTGGCTATAGGGAAAACATGAGACGTTGAACAAAGCACCTCTTTAGAGATCATTAAAATTTGTGTGCATACATCGAGAGAAATTGTAATAATCATAATAATTAATGTAAGGATAATTAAGATTTGATTCTATTCATTCATTCAAGAAAGTAACAATTTCTTTTTCGCTTTCCAGATGGCCCAGTGTTTCGCAAACGACCACAGAACATGGAGGGAGACCTTGGGAGCACGATCACCCTAAATTGTGACGTAGATGGGAATCCAGCACCTGAAATAGTTTGGTTTCACGAACCAACGAGGAATGTAAGTTGAACGCTTACCAAATTCAAAATTATTATTTACTCTTAGTTTTTATAACATTAAGCGTTACCTTCGAGTAGGGACGTGCAGCATTTGCATTTCCTAAATTCTTATATCAAAAAGTATTCTACTATTATTGTCACTGTCATTACTTGTATTTATTTATTGACATGCAAATATCCAATGTCAAATCAAAAGACAATTCCAAATTGTGGGTGACTCAAGCCTAAGGAGGAGTGGTTAGTGGTCGCAGTAAAGAATAGTCGCGTGCATCACGTCCTGTCATGTTACTCTGTTGATCTAACATGATTTCCTTCCTGTGGTGGTGTAGTAGATACCGTACATGCATACGTACATGCATGTGTATGTATATGTATGTATGTATATCAAGAGGGAAAGTGAGGAGTGTTTGCTTATTGACAACTTTCCTGGAAAAGGATGAAGCCCAAAATTCCCATGTGTCTCTTTCCACCATATCCGACGACTTCATCCCCCATTGTGTGCAACCTATCGAGTTGTAATACCACAGCAAAATTTATTGACATGATATCTGCCCTTCTCTTCTTCGAATAGCAACAAAAAACATAAAATGATGTTATAAAAACATGTTTCCCGCATAGAAAGCTGCATCATAGTCGATACGCATACAGGGAAATGCATTTTATATCAGCGAAGACATCCTTCCTGAAGAGGGGATGAATTTGATGTCGGAGAAGTGGCAAGTTGTGAACTCGTTTTGTAGTTCCTAATAAATAGTTTTGTTTCATTCCAGTCTGCCAAACATTCGCATTGCATACATGTTTTGTCATAAAATTTAACACTTAAATGAATTCCGATGAATATTCAAGCGAAAGTTCATGTATTGAGTTCATCAGGAAGGCTTGTTTTATATTTGTGTAATGAAAATTGAATTGAAACAGCCAATCCCACTTTCATTGACTTGACACTAATTTAAAATTCCACGAACTCTGTCAGAAGTTCAAAGCTCTCGGTCAAAGTGAAGCAATAATGTAACCGTGAGGAGAACAAGCCTCGGCTCAAGCCAGTCATGAATATTTATTCCGTGCCCTTATAGCTTATGCCCTGCCCCGTGTGCATGGTGCTTGGTGATGGCGGTGGTGTTATGCTCTGGCGTGTTGTTTGTTTTACTTTCTCTCACTTTCACTCCGTGTGTGTTGTATGTATAATGAACTGAAATAAAATTAGTCCTGGATGGAGGTAGACCTTCCTCCGAATATCAAAACCAGCAGAAAGGACATGCAGAATGCATTAGACATATGTTCACTCACTATTTACAGTTTAATTGGATTGATCTTATTAACTTACGGACAAGTATAAAATGTCAATTTTTAAGGACAATAGAACCACAGTACATAAATATGGATGAGGACTATAAAATAAATTATTTTCCCATAAAGCATATAATAACGCAAAAGTGTTTTTAACATTTATTTTTAAAGGTTTGTATCCATTATTTGATTTTGTGACTTTTGTAGGCTGTGAGCACATCACCCAATCACACGGTCACTGTGACAGAGGACACTCAAGGAAAGTATGTCTGCCAAGCCGTGGTAAGCCGGGGGAACCATTTACGACGCATCACTAATTCAATATGTGTTATAAATATATACAAGTCATAATAAATACATGTGGAATAAACGCATTTCCAGGTGCAAGGATTTCCTCAAATCTCTGCTATAGCCACCGTCTCCCTCAAAGGACCTCCGCGCATTGAGTCGCACCGTGTTCAGTACGGCACCATGGGTGAGACACGGTTTATAGTTTGTAAATTTGCGTTATTCTATAATTATTATAATATAAATCTACGTTGCAGGTGACACGATTCGTCTCGAATGCCTCGCACGCTCAATTCCAAAACCAGATAGAATAACTTGGACTCATCTTGGAAGAGAAATTGATAACAGTGAGTTAACAGAGTTTAGAATTTGCTTAAGATTTTTAGATTAGAATAAAATAAATATAACTGAACCGACTCTCCCTCATTTTGATAAATGAATGGGAGACACAAAAGGGATTTAGACAGTTGTCGTCGTCGTATTTTCTATTTTTAGTAATGACACATTCTGTTTTACGCTAAGAGAACGGGCATTAGTACAAACAAGAACATTAGCGCTGACTTAAATTACTTTTGTTTTAAAGTTGTAGTGTTTTAAAAATAAAAAGGAATGTTGATTCTGTGAGCAGGAGGAAAAAGGGGGAGAACTTGACTATCTTTTAATGGGGTGATTTTCCACGTTATTTCTAGATGACTCGGACTATTCCATCCTGGAGGACCCTACGCCATTCGGAGTGCGAAGTATTCTGGTCATCCGCTCTTCTCAGGAGAAGGATTTCGGAAGAATTTACAACTGCTCCGTCACAAACCCGTACGGAACTCATATGATGGAAATCTACCTCTTCAAACAAAGTGAGATCATACATATGTGCACGGATATTTTTGCATGCTTGACCCTTCTCAGCAAATATGCGGTTGATGGACTTGGTGCATTTATTTAATGCCTGATACTTGATGCTCTACATATATCTGATAAACTTCTTGGACTCTAAATATATTTTTCCACCGTGGCGACATAATCGTATTGTGAAGAAAGTTGGTCAGTAGTAGTGGACAAAATCGTGCATAGTACAGTCCGCAGGTCGTGTGTATGTATTGTATTATTGCATAATGCATTGGGATGCTGACTCTTCTGGAATGAGATTGACTTCCATTTATGAAACTCTCATCAGTAGCACCACCCATTCTCTACTTTGCCATCAATTTACACGTAGGCTCGAATGGCTGGCAGCAGGATATTAGAGACCACAATGGAATTTTTCACCGAGAATTGTCACTGCTGGCTAGTAGTACGTACATACATGGACGTCTTGGAAGTAGACAAAACACGTGTACAAATGAAGTCGCATTCTCATTACATTCTTTCTCTGATGGAATTCGGTCTGTCCTCATTTTCCCCTTTGCAATTTCAGATTCATTCATTCTCTCTCAATTCCACGCTTTTCTTCCTTTGTAGTAGTTGTTAAAATACTTGTGTTCCAAGTTCCAGATCGAAAAATCTTATCGCACACACTTTGGTTTCGTTTTGGTTGATTGAAAAATCTTGACAAAATCCACCCAAAAGAATTTTAAGATTTTCATTTTGATTCTCAAAGTTGGAGAGCATGACGTAAATTCGGTCTAAAGAGGATATTGGTTGCTTATTGGTGCAACTTTTGCTTGGTGGGTGGGTTAGTGGGATTTATGCTTGCTTAATATAGGGCTTAGGTACATACGTATTATGTGTATATTTAGGGTAGCTTTGACACGTTTTCCTTCAGCACACCTCCCTGTTTGCTATTTGATAAATATGTTGTTGGTCTCCAAATCTACCAGGCTCAGGAAACTTTGGCAATAAAAGACAACGTAACAGGAAGGATAGTTCTACTTTCGAATTTATTGTCCATTAATTTACGAGCAGCAATCGATCGATACTGCAAGAATTTCAAATTTTCATAGTTATTGGCAATTTTAGCGTAGCGTTTGCGAATATTTGACCCAGTCTTATTTCATCAAATAGTTTTTATCGTAAACTACACAATTCCACGCAGAGTAGTATTACGTACAAATATATTGTATATATTTTGCAATAAGTAGTAGTGTATAATGATCAGATATGTTGACTCATCATTATCATCATCATAACCTACAGCTCATCCTGCATTCTGTACAGAAATCAGAAAGTATTAGGACTCTGCGGTGCAGTAATAAGATGAGAATGAGTTTTATGACCGCAATGACAAGCACGTGAAGCAAGTGTGCTGAACATAAGCCATGGGAGGAACACAACAGGGAGACCATGTTCCTTTCACGATGATGTTCTGGTGCACAGAGGAGACGGGAAGTGAACAAGTCCGAGTTGAAAACTTAAACTAATTGTAGAGAAAGCTGGAGTCAAGTTGGAGGAAGAAATGTGATCGGCATTAATTAGCGAGGGCAGGCCGAGTGGAGGATCAAACTCAAAAGTAGTTGTGGCCGTGGTGGTGCTCTGGTCTTTGCGGTTGATTTTCAGGAGAGGAAAGAAAATCTCAATAGGGAAGAGGAGAAAGTAGTCAAGTCATCCTTCCTGCTCCCCACCACGCTAATAAGTAAGTGCTCCGAGAGATCGAAACCAGCCTCAAAGGAGGAAAACATCGACCAAGCGGGTAGTCAAGCAGAGCAAATTTCCTTTTTAACTATGCACTGGTAGTACGAGAGGAAAAGGTGATAGTAATTATTTCTGGGGAGGAGGAGATCTATGCAAAATCTTGTCGATGAAAATTCTAGCTTATGTGCAAGGACAAGATTCCTAAACTTTTTAGCTTGTTTCCGTGGAAGAAATGTATTAGGATAATGTAATGAGGTTGTCCAAGGACGGGCCGTGTTTTAAAAATTATTAAAAATTTGCGAGTTGGGGACAGGTACACATTTTTTGGCGTTGTCACCCGTTGTTGGGTGAGTGAGAAATTATTTTTCTGTGGAGTTTTTCATTTCTAACTCGAACCCATATGTATGTGATATTGATGACCATTTCTGCCATTAATTAATTACATAATTCGAATACATTCACTCCACGGAAACATACTAAAAAGTCTAGGAATCTTGGTGCAAGGAACTTCTTCAACACGTCTAAAAACCTAAACTAACTTTGTCCACCATCCGGCGTGTTCCGTCCCAGAAGGGAAAGTGGTACAGCATATAGTATTTGAAGGACCCGTTATTATACGAGTTTGGAGAAAGCCAAGCCTGCTCAGCACAAAGTGGGGAGGATGATAATTGCTTTGAAGGAAAGTTATGCCACCTCACTCGTTCTGAAGACGGTCATTTATCATTGAAAAAATTTAATAAGGCCCTGCTGTCCATATTTATCCCCTCCATTGATAAGGCAATATTCCAATTTGCTGCTTAAGCACAAAAACTTTTCCAATATTCAATTCAAAGTCGTCGTGGCCAATAAGAATTCTGTCAAGTCGATATTGGTTGGTAGTACCAATGGGCGACAGGTATCTTCATTCATATATTTAAACGCGTATCTATACTTAAGTAATATGGTGATTTGTAAACAAAGATTGATCTCTTTTGTGCAAAATCGTTTTCCCACAAGTTTTGCTAGTCAATTAATGAGAATCAGAATGAAAATTCAAGGACATGCACATATTACAGCTACTATACTTGCACTTTTTTGTATATATAATTTTGGGATTAAAAATGACACCAATTTTAACAAAATAACAAACCTTCCAAGTAAAAACGAGTAGTTTGATTGGATTAAATTAAATTTGTTTGAATAGTGCATGCACAGGAATGCATTTAACTATGTATGTGCATACTGATTTAGGTTGCTCGGTTTACCAAACTTTCTTTACTACTTTTGCAAGTAAAGTAAAAGTACTTTTAATATGAAACACTCAGCTATTTCTATTTTTCCCATGAAGGCTGTATTCCGAGTCAACATTTCCACCGGTTTACAAAATGGATATTGCATCTCAAAATCAAAGTGCTTTCTCCATCATTTTACTTTCTCCATAAATTGCTCTTCTCCATCTAGTTGGGGTCAGGACGAGGGGTTGGTCGTGGTGTGAAATGCTCATCAAAATGAAAAATCTCATAAGCCGTTTCCACTCTTGATGATCCACATAACTTTTGAGTTGATATTGATGTGCAGTGCACCCTCGTATAAATCTGGTGTAAGCAGAAGCTTTGTCCATCATTATGGTTCCCTCCTCATTTTTCAGATCGAGAACAACACCCCTTTTCCTTCCCCCAAAAAGTGTCAAACTCAAGAAACTCAAGAGACTCATCATTGGATCTCATAATTTTTGTCTAGAGTTTGTCACCACCTTCCTTTCAGAGGAATGGGTTCAGATATGGCGACATAAAATTATTACGAGTTTCATTTCTCGTTAACTTTTAATTTTTGTGAGGGATTTTCACCCATCTCATCCCATCCATAAATTTTGATACCCGCTCCATTCACATCAACCAATTTAAGGTTAATGCATTTACGGCTTTTGTTAATCAAGAGTTGCATTATAACAGTTATTGCTGGCTGAACATTATATAATATGTAAGTACATATATACATATACTTACATGTTTGCGTAGCTATGTGTAGTATAATATGCTGCATATCGGAGGTAGGGATTTTAATGATAGGGAGAATTTTCTCTCCTTCTCCCATTTGTTTCAACTTTCTGACGGTGGTGGTACATGTACGAAATATGCTCGTAATAAAGTGGGGAAATAATGCTGAAATCTGTTGCATTCCAATGTCCTCATTGCACTAACCCCAAAGCTTCCCCTCAATGATCCGGCATCACATTTAAATCTAATACCATCAGGGAATTTTTTTTGGTTTGCGACAGAAGGGGCGCAGTTGATGTGGATCCTCACCTTCGTCATCGGTGGAGTCGTTCTCATTGTTGCCGTCACAATGATCACCTTGCTCTGCCAAAGGAAAGCTGTGAAGCCAGATTGTAAGAACGACAAAAACCATTCAATTCATGTTTTGATTGTATTGCATCTGACCTAACAACTCGTGTTTTTTTTGTTTTTGTTTCTCGTTGCAGTGATGGAAATCGACAGAGTAGAAAAACAAACAAAGCAATCGGACTCCTCCAATGACTCTGATCTGAAAGTTGAGATACGCACAGCTTCATCTTTATCAAATATTCCAGAACATGACTCGGAGCACTGGGATGAAGGCTCGGATGCCCTAAAAAATGAGTCCATCTACAGATATTCCGACTATATCGATCCTGTCTTCCCTCCGAAACATGTAAGTCTTAAAGTTATATTCTCATATGAAACCGAGTACGATATGCATAATGACAAAAGTCTGTGTTGTATTAAAAAGACCTTCATACGAAGCTGTTGCTACGCACAAGTGCAGGTTAACATTTTTGGGCTGATATTATGCAAGAGTCAAGGGAGTATTTTATAGGGGATGACGGTAGGGCAGACAAGTCATGATACGAGTAAATAACGCGGATGGGTGAATGGGACCGTGTCTGATGATACCATCTGCACCTATTTCAAGAAATACCCGATTTTCATTTCATTTCACGCCCACCGCTTCTCCGCGTCCTCATTATAAACGGAACGATGAATCCCATGTCCTCAGTTGAAACTAATTCAACGCAAATGTCGACCCAAACCTCTAACCGTTGGCACTGGTGACTCTACATGTAGCACTTCCTCCTCAAATTTTCAGCTGAATAATTACAATCAGAAAAGGATCATATGATCATCTTGATAGCTACTCAAGGCACATAGCATTTCAATAATTTCATGGAGGATTCCGCATATTTTATGGCTCATGATTCCACATATTTACTTATGCCATACGTATATCTATGTACGTTTGTATACACGCTATTTTCGGCTTAGATTTAGGCCCCCACTTAATTAGCTGAAAGCTCCCACTTTTTTTGGCGGTACCTCCCACTAGCTGAAATCTTCACTATGTCGGTTTTTTTCGCCACCCAATTAGCTAGTGGTAGCCACTCATTTATCTGATTTCTCACTTAAAGTGGTTAAGCCCAAAAACTACTATCTAAAGTCAATTTTATCACCAAAAGATTACTCATCTTCATTTACATAGACAACTCGCCTATCCTTGCCAGCCACGATTCCTCTTCTTCACCCTCGCCATACTTTTGCCTATCCTATTTGGTTTCGAAACGAACTTCGCTATTGGAATTAAATTGCTTGTTCTCAAGTTGTACTTTGGGATAAAGGGAGTGACAGTCTTGATAGCATATCTGAAGATGAGAATATACTTCCCGCAAAGAAACTCGTAAAATAAATTCGTAAGATTAGTGATTGATCCAAAATACGGAGTTTTGAGAGTAGAGCTGAGGCTGAGATTTTTTTGAAACAAAGTAAAGAATGGGTGTACCAAGGAAAAATACTACCGAACAAGGATTTATTCTCAGATACGACTGCCGCCATTCACTGCAAAACGTAGAATGATTCTGCTTGCCAAATCCCTCTTCAGATGACCATGAAAGACCACATTGAACAAAATAAGTCAAGGTGACTGCATGCCTCATTTAAAATTGTAATGTACTTAATTTCGATATACTGTACGGAATTACGAAAAAAGGATGGTATTATCCCCAAGCTGAAAAATTTCTTCGCCTATCGTAAATCGAAATTAAGAATACTATCCTTGTCAAAATCATACACCAGTCCCTATCGGAAACGGCGACAAACCATTTGTCGTTTATTCAACTTTTAATTATGAAAACAAACGTTTCGGACTGGTGGTTTCAACTCCTCGGCTTTTGAATATATGTTAATTATCATCAGCCATTCACTACGATTCTACGTACAAATGTATTTCGTTTCGGCTTCCGATCAGCCACCGTTAAAAGATGACGACATAAAAAAGTATCTGTGGATGACGGAAATAATTCCTGGAGATCATTTGAAACTTACACAACCTGTACCTCCCGGTTATGATTGGTAAAATTCAAACTTGATGGGTGGATGAAATCCTCATGTATTTGCCCCGTTTTCAAGAAGGAACACATTTGTAAGCATATAATGGGACTAGAAATCCAGGAAAAATTAAACGAAGTTCGCGCAGAGGCCAAAACCGTACATTTAGGTCAAAAGCGCGAGAGGGGAAGGGTTGCTCGAGCTCGCAGGGCTCTGATCATTATGTAATTTTTTTAAATGTAAATCCGAAGTAAGATTTTTGAGCTTTTTTATGAGACTTTTTGCATAATCTCTTTAAGTGAGAAATCAGATAAATGAGTGGCTACCACTAGCTAATTGGGTGGCGAAAAAAACCGACATAGTGAAGATTTCAGCTAGTGGTAGGTACCGCCAAAAAAAGTGGGAGCTTTCAGCTAATTAAGTGGTGCATTAAATTTAGGCCGCTATTTTCATATGTATTAATAATCAAATATCTTGCTTCTCCTATCTAGGACGGTCATAATAACAATGGTTATGTGCCGTATGTGGATTATGCCCGTGACTACAACCCAAACCACACCCGTACCTACAACACGATTAACCACCCTCCCCCCCACATGCCAAACAATCACATAGTAACCAGTCCGCAGCATCAATACTTGAACAATGTCGACCCACGATACTCTGCCACGTATGGTAATCCTTACCTCCGAACATCCAACAGCTCCCTACCACCCCCACACTCTGGGGGCCAGTCTCCAAACTCACATCCTCTCGCCCAGTTTAGCCACACAGCAATGCACAACAACCACAGTTCCAACAACCTGCTGAACAACCACGTGGGTGTGTCCCATCACCTCATGAACAACCATCACGGGAGCAACCATCTAATCACACCCACAACCTCTGCTGCCGCCGCTGGTCAACCCCCCTACACGACGACTACTGCCATTAATAATGTCACGTTAGCCAATGGTTCTACGTCCCCACACACGCATAACAACCCTCTGAGTAATTCTACTAATCCATACGGGATGAGAAATGGGGGTGTGTCGCATCATCCCTCAGCAGCAGCATCGTCGAGGGGGTCGTCCACCCCCTCCCCTCAGTACATTGTTCCTGCGCAATCTCAGGTTCGTTGTTTTTTGTACTCTTTTTTTTCTGAAAATTCATTTCAAATTCATGGATATATCTCTTATCTTACTTATTGTAATTGTGCCATGTCGTACCTTTGCACTCATGTCCATAAATTTGAATTGAAAATTACAACAATTACTTAATTGATATAGTCAAACATCTCATCTCATCTTCTTGAAAACCAAATATGTTTCGACTAGATGTGATTTTTATCATATTGCATTTATTTATATTCTTGTCATAATAAATAATAATAATAACGTGTTTTTTTCTCATTTCAGCTCAAGCCAGGAACCCTGGCCACTCATGTTTAATTTTAGTCTATGTATTATACCAATTAGTACATACAATGACATTGTGAAACTTCAAAAGTAAGCTTATCTAATACGATACAATATACATATGCATAAATATATATCACGTCGAATTATGAAGTCAAGCATATCTTATGATGAGAAAAATCAAAATTCTACGGACTTTATTCAACGATGAATTTTACCGAGTCCTCTGAAATGATATACATCCTCCATTTGACAGCCTCGTTCCGTTCATCGAGTGTCGTCTCTTCCAGAACTGAATTTCATAAAAAATATGATGGTCACTCGTCTTTTTTAAGAATTAAAAAAACTAGGAAAATTAATTAGGCCATGATTTACTTTGATTATTTATGTGTTGGGGGGACAAACCAACCTTATGAAAAATTTAATTTATGTCATATGTATGTACCTTCTTAACTCTATCTTCTTTGGTCTTTGTTGCCAACTACTTATAAATAAATATTAACCACTGTAATGATGTATACATTACAGATAATTATTTATTTCCACGCAGTTTATATATGTCTAATATTATTGCGATAAAACACATTTTTTACTCTTACATAAATCAATGTAAATTCCCTTGTACGTAAGTATTCAGGCAATTTCAATATCCGTAATATTGAAATTGCAAAGTTATATATGTAGGTCGATGTGTATACTATTTTATTACTGCTCCAGTGTACAACCGCTTAATTAGTTACAATGTCTTAAGTTTTTATACGAATTCATAACTGAAATTTTTGGATCGAAACGAAATTGAATTTACGTGTATCGATTTTGTACATATCTAACTACAAATATAATACTTGCTTAAATATATTAATTGTCATGTGCAACGTGGATAGAAAATGTAGTGCAATACGCAGTCAAACTCTAGTTAGGGAAATCTTTAGTGTAGTAAATATGTACTTCAAATTCATAAAGTCTCCCATTTTACGAAGCACGATGACATCGGTGTTCAGCGCAGGAATTCTACCTACAAGATATAAAAGTATTTTAAACAAAGGAAAGCAACTCTTTCTTCTCTCTCGGCCAAATGTTGAATACTAAAGGAAAATGTGAAACATTCTCCCAGTGCTTTTACTGTAGCTTACTAACATAAATTTAGAGTCATTTACATATATGCCGAGTTTATTTTGCATTATACGTATTTTTGGAAATTTTTAACAGTTAAGCTTTATAGTTTATAAAATTTAAATTGACTCGAGTACTATTTTCAACATGTACTTAACTTTAGAATTCTATATTGCTCATTTAGTAATTTATTATTTAACTTATCATCCTGCGTATTACTTATGTTTATGATCAATGCATCTAACTAAGGACATATCAATGCAATTGTAAATTAGAATTTATATGTGTAATTTAATTTTAGTCCTTGATTAATTCTTTACTCTTCTTACTCTATATGTAATTCAGTTTAAACCAGCATACACATATGTGTTCAGTCTTATTCTTAAATTTTTACATTTTGGCAACTTATGTAATCGCTCGAGTAAGATCTTTGTTTTAAAAAAATGTAATGATACGGTTTTAAAGCATATTGTATGTGCGTAGTGGATTCTAGTAGATGCACGCATAAGTGAACAAATAGCTTTATGAATTTTATATGTAAACGTAAATACGTGTTAATGTTTTGTAATATAAATCTTCATAAATGTGAATCTAATCGAGACAAAGATATGTAATTGTAAATATGCAAAGTAGTTAAATGCAGTGTAGTACACACATGATATTATATATTATATTACTTATCAAGGAAGGTAAATTTTAATTTAGCCTTACGTAGAAATAAAATATGCATGCTATCTGAAAATTTGTAATTAAATTAAATATGTAACGTATCATGTTATCTGTATCATAAATGTTATGATATAAAATCTCGTGGAAAATTAACCATTGTGTGTGTGTTTTTTTGTGTGCATCCTCTAACACCAATTGACAAATGTTTTGAATTCATAATCATAATCTGCATGCACTCAAAACTTGGAACTAATTAACCAATGTATCAAAAAATGAGGTTTTACTTAATTTTTGTGTGTTGTAGTGTGCAGATGTGACAATTTATAATATCTCAGCATCATTCTACAAGCAATACATCCCACAAATTTGCATTTCGTTCAGGATCGGAAGTTCCTCATGTCAAGAAAGCTGCCTAACACAGCTCGTCATCCTAAACGGTTCAACATTTCATATCACGAGAGTTTCATATTTATTAGCTATTTATTTTGGAGGCGTGAAACAAATTATACTCGAGTACATATATTTCAAAGATAAAAATATTGGCCAAGTGTGCTGAGAAAAGCATTACTGACACATTGCAATGATAATCACCATGATGCACATAATACGTAGGTGTTTTATTATTGATTTTCAAAAGGTATGTCCCGCACTGTTTGTGACCAAACTTTTGATGAAATAACAAACTTCGAATACATTTAGGAGGTTGTGATTTTTTTCAGTTCTGTAGGTTAACATGAACACTAGAAATAAATCAGCAAACTTTACCTCGACGGAAAAAATGTCAGATTTGCAAATTAAATATCGTAGCGTGATTTAATTTTTAATGCTGGAGGGGCAATACGTGTCGCAGATTTATGATCGAATGCTTAAAATTTACGATGAAAACTGCCCAACACAAACACAAATTCAATTGCGTCAATAATTTCAAATGATGGCGAAAAAAAGTCTCGGACAAAAAGCCGCTAGAACGCCCAAAATCTGTTTCTCCCACAGAAAGGCTCCGGAAACTAGAGGAACCAATAATGAGAGATCCGCGATTGAAACTGCCCTATTTAGCAGATGAGATGGGTGTTCCAAAACCAACAATTTGTTCCATGTTAACTGAAGTCTTCGGTATGAAAATGGCTTCCTCCCGTTGGGTACCAAAATTGCTTTCGGCATCTCAAAAACAGGATCGAAACGACTTTTGGAATGAAACTTTTGCCCTTTCAAATGAAACCTGGAACTTGATTTATATTTTAATAGTTGGATATGATACTTGGGTTTACTATTATGACCCGGAGACCAAATAATAATTCACACAATGGAAGCACGGGGGGTCGCCACCGCCCATGAAAGCAAAAGTGCAAAAACCTGCCAAAAAATTGATGATTCCTATTTTCAAGGATACCAAAGGTCCCCTCCTTATTACATTTATTGGTAAAAATACTATGATAAATGGGGCAGCCTATGCAGGAATTTCGAAGGAGCTGTGTGCTGTGGTTGAAGAAAAACGTGGGGTCAAAAAAAAGAGTTGGTGCATTTTTAGCACGCCAAAGCGCCACCTCATACCTGGCTTTTGCGAGGGCTGCTGCAGACGGAAATCGCTTCACCTAGATAAACCACCTCCTGTACAGTCCAGACATGACCCTTGGTGATTATTATTCGTTTCGAAACTTAAAGGAAGACATCAGGGGGAAACGGTTTTCTGATGATAACGAAATCAAGTCGTAAATTTTGGCATATTTTCGAGGTAAATTTTGATGAGCTATTGCTAGTGTTAATGTTAACCTACAGAACTGAAAAAAATCACAGCATCCTAAATGTATTTGAAGTTTATTATTTCATCAAAAGTTTGGTCAGAAACAGTGCGGAACATACCTTTTGAAAATCAATAATAAAACACCCACGTACATACGTAGACCAGTTTAGACGGAAATATGTAGTCTTAAGAGTACTTTAATATATCTGCAATTCTTGGAGCTCGGAGGCTGCAATTTTACATGTGCAATATTAATACATGTAAATATGCATAATAAATAATTTTTTAGTAGACCAAACAAAACGACTCAATTTGGTTGGCTGTATCCTTTATTTTGTCAACAGTCAAGTAAGATCGTGATACAGTATTTGATTTAAAACCAGGATAAGGGCGTTGCAGAACCAATGAGTACTACTTGAATCATTTAGTAATTATTTGTTTTGTCGAGTTGCATGAATATTTGTTGCGTTAAGATTCGAGATTGATCATCTTATAAAAGGACAAAAAAATTTATACGTGAATAAAACTGAAGAATATATATATTCCATTCAGGCGAATAAATACTGTACCTCTGTATACATATGCAAAATTAAAATAGTTAATTCTATGGTATATGTAGATTAACAGTTCATTGTAAATTAATAAGAGCTAATAGCGGAATTCCATGTCGTTTGTAGTTGGTTTTTAAGAAGAAGGTACGGGGTCAGAAAAGTTGATTCCAAGTTTGCTGCACCGATTTTCACAGTACTCCTTCAATCGTAAGCCAACCCTGTAGAGAAAATTTTTAACATATTAAGTATGAGTATTAACGTGTGCACACAAACTTGATTAATTACACTGATTAAATTGACTTACTGATGGACATGGTTGCTTGAATCATTATAGAGGAAACAATTTGTAAACACTAGTAAAAGATCTGAAACTAACTCTTCCTGTTAAATTATATTTAAAGAAGAATAGTTAGATATGTTTGATTTTGAACGATAATAAAGCACTGTTTCAGAACTTACGTTACAAGTATATACCATTGAATTCAGCTTGTACTTAATTGTTCCCAAGTCCATCGGGTATTTAACTATTTCTTGATAATCTGGTGCCTGTGAAAAAGAGTTGGATTATATTAATTAAAGAAAAATGAGTTAAATTAAATTAAAGTACAACAAAACAAAATTTCCAAAAATTATGAAGCGAAACCTTTGTCTCAATATATAACGATCTACACATCACTCATACTGACTGCCTCGCATTATACATATATTCTCATACATTAGAAATGTATACTCATACTGACTTGCATCTTTGTCACCGGCTTCAAAAACGGCCAAGCGTCCCTGTGCGAGATTAGCTCAGAAATCAGCTTATCCAGGAGAACATTATCCAACTCCCCACTTTCTACCCTGTTGTTGGTATTCATTCGTTGAAGTCTAGTTCGCTTTGGGCAGTCTGCCATCTCTTCGGCATCATCATCATCAACAGACCTTTTGCGAGCATTATAATTCGAATCAGCGCTAGAACTCTCACTTGTTTCATTATTCTCCTTAGAATCCCAACGCATTCGTTTCGCTTCTTGAGATATCTTAGCAGCAGCAGCAGACGCACTTCGACGTTTTCCTGGACGGCCCAGTTCTTCTTGATCACTAGTAGCTTCCTCCTCCTCCTCTTCTTCTTCTTCTTCCTCGCTACTTTCCAGAATTCTTCTAGCTTTTGGTGCAGGTCCATCGGGGCTTTTCTTTTTCTGGTGATGGTTACGTCCAAATTTTACTTTCACAACTGCCTCCTCCTCATCACTTGCACGATTCTGGTCTTCCGACTCTATAATAGATGTTATATTATATTAAATATATTTTTCACAATAGATTCAGATTTTGGAGTAATAAACTATTACCGTCCATGTCCTCTTCAGATTCACTCTCGTCACTTTCTTGGTACTTTAACCTACGTTTAACCGAGACTGGCCGTTTTCTCTTAGCAGCACGAGAATTTCGAGAGTTCTTGGCCCTGGCTTTGGGATTTGTACATTCTGGGCAATACCACGTTCCACGTGGTACCCTGGACAATTAATAAAATATAAGATAAACTACTATAAAATGAAACTTTGTGATGCATGGTATTCGTTATGTAACAAACCTAGTCTTGGGAGGATTAAGACAAAGAAGATGGTAAACTAATGGGCAACTATCGCAGCAGATAACTTCTCCGCCATATCCACACACATTGCAAGCTTCTGGATCTTCATTGACCTCCTCTAAACCTCTTTTCTTTGATCCCCGCTGTACAACTTCATCGTCATCCTCATCATCGCCACTATCCAACTCGTCAATAATATCTTCTTCTGTCAATGGTCGCTTCTTGCTGGGAGTTGGCAAAGGTTCATCTGGTCTGCAATCAACACAGAACCAGTCTCCCTTGGGTAGAGTCTGAATAATTATAAATACATAATCTTATTAATATTATCTATATTAAACGACGATTACAAGAGCAAATGAACTGGCAAAAATCACTTACCTCCATCGGTGGTTTTAAACAATAAATATGATGACCCTTGTTACATGTATCACATAGTAACATTTTTTCATGGTCACCTTTTCTTCGACAAACTCGACATCGTGCATTTAATACTGATCGGGACCATTCAACACTCGATTCTGCAATTACAATTATATAATTAATCAGAGCCGTTAAATTAGCAGCAGAATTTTTATCAGCCAAGATCTGCTCACCCAGTGTGTAGAAATGGACAAATAATTGTGAGAAGCTTGTGCACTTCATTAAAGCAATCTGCCATCTGTCCACCGGAGTATTTACAATGTTTAGTAAGGTTTTCCATGTTGAATCAGATTCTACTGGAGATTTTTTCTTTTTCTTCTCATCATCTCTCTCTACTAAGGGACGTTTCATGAACTTTTGTTCTACCGCTTGTTGAATTTGAACTGCAATATGCAAACCAAAAATCAGCTATTTGGAACGTCGAACAATATGTTAAATAAACAAACAAATATACGTACGGATGGCACAGCCCAATCTTTTAACAATTTTTTCAGAAGTTTCAGCATTTTGTTCTGCTGGAGAATCTTGTCCTACGCATAGATTAATAATTTATATTATACATATATTACACACTAAATATTAGTAAAAAATAACTACCATCAACAGATTCGTCATCCATCTGCAAGGAGTGATTTCCACCCCAATGCAATATTTCTGTTCCTGCTTGATAACTAGACCCTTCAATTGCAGTTCTCCAATCATTTCGATCAGTTACCTAAAGAAAGGTCAATGAAGTCGTTAATATCTCTAATAATAATAACAGGTTGATAAAACTAATTGTTTAAGTTGGAAATAACCTTCAAAGATCCAAGACCACCCAAAAAAATCTTTTCTTCAAACTCCAAAATCAAATCTCTCAAATGCAAGTCCATTATTTTGGTTACAGATGTTCCAGCAGGAAACCCAAGGTTAGGATCAGACTGGTTCTTGGAACTTGTTCCTCCACGCTGTGGTCGACGATCAGGAGCGGCAGATATATTTTCAGGATACTTTTTATCCTTGTTCAGCTTAACGACCGGACATTTCTTAATAAGCCCTTTTATATTATCTTTCGCATCTTCCAGACATTGCCGTAATTCCTTTTCTCGTTTTCCTCTCGGCGAGAGTCCAGCAATAAGAGCATCTAATTGTTCTGGATCCCAAAAGAAGGACCATTTTGGTCTCGACAATTGATGAGAATGCACAGGACACGAGTCCTTTTCACCGGTACAGATTCCAAAAATAGACGGACGAATGGCTTCTTTTTTGACAGGGGTAATATTTGAAGCAGCCTTTTTCTTTGACAATTTCTTTGGAGAAGCTAGAGAAGAATTTTCTTTGTCACTTCCTTCTTTGTCGACTTGTTTTAGCTAAATTAGAAAATACAAAATCTAATTAATAATGATATTTTAAGATGATGTCAACAGAATTATTTAATTGCTACCTTATCAAAATTCTCTTGAATAAATGTAATGTCATTCAAGTTAACTTCCCCAATGTAAGGTGTCGGATAGGGTAAACATGTGCCAATAAACGCATCGTCGTCTTCAACAAATAAACCAGCAATTGTGGGGAATAACCAGTATCGTCGGTATGCTCTATCTCTTCCTAGGGGATGAGCTCCTAGTTTTCGCTCATGTTTGTTTATTTGGTCCAATAATTCGGCCTCTTGCCAGGCAAATTCTTGCTTCCTTTTGGCAATCTCTTTGTCCTTTTTAGTCAATGCTGATTCAATTTGCTCATCAGTTAGTTGAGGTTTGTCGGACGGCGGAGGTGGTAATGCTTTTGCCTTTTCTTTCTTTGAAGATGATTTTCCTGTACCCTCTTCGTCCCCGCTTTCTTCAGCTCCAACGATTACTTTTAGTGCATTGATATCAGGAATTATTCGATCCAATTTTAATCGTTGTCTGTGCAAATTAAAAATAAATTGTTAATGGATACAAGCAGAAAAGGAGCATACAAAAACTTTTCAAAGTCTGAAAAGTATAGCTCAGAGGTAGTGACGAATGTTTGTAATAATTAAATATCATATTTTATATCAAACAAACAGAATTAATCATTGCATTGAAAAAAAAATCAAAATATTATTCTACAGAGTTATAACTCTGCTAGTGGTTTACCTCCACAAATGATCCTCCGCTTCCTTTCGTCTCTCAGCCGCGACCAGTGTCCTATAGTTCACTCGTGCTTGTCGAAACAGCTCAAAACTTTCATCCATAATGTCCTTCACAGCCGAATATGATAAGATTTGATGAATGAGACACTGAATAACCTTCAACTTGTCAGATAGGGATAAGTCAAAAACAGTCCCAGTGGTCAAGCATTTTAGAATTTGAGCTAAAACAAAGCCATAATAAATGTACAATTAAATTCCGATCAAAATATACTCCAACAACAGATATAATGAAGTAGCGGAAACGAAGTGCTGAAAATTCTGCATTAAATATGCTACAACATTTTCGACATGCATCAAAACGCCCACCCTCAATAACGTCTAAACCCGTCAAAACCATAAGCTTCAGTTTCTTCTGCTACTTTATAATCTATTGACATAAACCAGTTGTAAGCAAAGAAAAAAAACCTACGTTCATATGTTGTAATATAAAGACCAGGGTCGTCATTTTCAACACAACTTCCTCTGCTCTGCTGAGACTGTTTTGCACCAGAAGACAGCAAATGAAGGCGGAGGACCTCTGTAATCGAGGAGTGGTCCACTCCCAGTTTATGCAGTGGGGTATTTTGATACATGTGGGACCAGGATGCAGCACACGTTGCTGCATATATAATATTATTTTAAACAACGAAACATGCATGGGGTACTGTAAATTGTGGCAGTTCTGCCTATTTACTTACCCTGTTGGATTGCTTCTCCGATGCTGAGACCATCCTTAACATGAAGGCCTGGTGAAAAATACCAATAGTTACAGGAAATGTACGAATAGGTTGACAAGAATCAACCTACGATTGCAAGAAATTGTATGTATTCAGCTTACCGACTTTTCCACTGTCTTCTTTTGCAAATTCCATTTGTTCGCCTTCTTGAAGGCGGAATACAGAACGTAGTAAAAGTTGCAAAATGTCGCTGAATGGTCCAGCAATTTCACTTTTGCTCAAAGCGCGTTCTAATGCGTCCAACGTCAACCCGCTTGGAAAGCAATCTCTAACTTTCAGGAACGCAGAATAGGAACTCATGAATTCCATCACCATCATGAAATCACCAAATAAATCGTTTGGAATCTTGAATGAAATCGGGTCAGGCGTCGGCAAATCCTGAAATTCCATACAATAAAACCCTTTCAAGCATTTGATTTCCTATTTTCTTGAAAGAAATACTGAAAGTTCTGTCTAGTGAGCGAGCTCAGAGGTAGTGACGAATGTTTGAATTTTGAATATCATGTTTTGTCAAACAAACTGTATCCATCATTGCAGAATTTCAAAGTGTACAACAGTTTTACTCAAGATGTGTATTGCATAACATTAAAAATTATCATACTTTCAGATCTTCAACTTCTAAGTCTTCCTTGGGCTTAAACCAAAGTTTCTTGAAATCTGCAACCATTTTCCGCTGTGCTTTAATTTTTTCTTTCTCCTGTGCCTTCCGTTCAATCTCCAACTGCTTTAGTTCTTCTGGAGTCAATTTGCGCTCCATTTTCTCTCTATAATATACAGATAAACATTACACGGGAAATTAGCAAGTCGGAAGTGTATCATACTAATTAGTGGCGTCATTTGCAAATAATTACTTTTCATGTTGTCAGACTTACTTTTTTGGTTTCTTTTCAGTATTACCAGAAGATTTCTTGCCGCCTGCAGGTGGGGAGGTTTTTTCGGTTTTGTTTTTTGCTTTTGGACTACTCTTGGGAGTAGTAGTTGTGCTGGATTTGCCTCCTTTAGACTTATCAGCCCCTTTGGCCGTCGTAGAAGTCTTGATTGCTGATGATTTCAAAGGCGCCAGAGAAGATTCAAAGATTGGAGGTTTCTCAGCGAAAATATCAGTAAATTTTAGTTTGTTCAGTCCGTACGAACTTAGAATTCCATCCTGCCCATGCAAATCAAGAATAAAAATATTATTGCATATATATACCACGCAATTGGACATTTATTTATAAAATATTCGTATGCATAAATTTACCTTAACGACAAATTTACGTTTCTGTTCGTTAAAGTCCATTGCAAGTTTAAGCAAAAATTTGCACTTGTCTCGAGTCAGAGCTGCTTTTTCTCTTTTGACATCAATCGAATCCAATACGTATGCTGTTGGGGAAGCTAGCTCATCTGAATCAACTTCTACTACTTCGTAACGGAATAAATCAGGCGATGGGCCCCACGTATCATCCCTATTAAAATAAAAAAAGTTATCATTTCGCATTTTCACAAAGGGAGCTTGTACAGTTAATCGTAATCCAGTAGTTATAACATACTTTAAATAGTCGTTATTTTCTGCCTCTCCCTTTTCAATTTGTTCTTTCATATAATTCTCAATTTCCAGGGGAGTAGGTTCTATTACATTGACAACGCGAGAAGGACACCTGCAGTGCATAATTAGGCATTGTTCTCACATGCACACCTTGTATTTTCTTCCATCAAAAACAACAGTTACCAAAGATTTCCTATGACAGACAAAACTTCTTCTCCTTTAAAATAACGATCCCTAGCGTAGACCAGTACATCGTCAACAACATCTGGAAGTTTGGATCTGGATGTTAGCGTTGAGCAATAAAGAATTGCTTTCTTCAACTACGAATAAGAATTAAAGTTAGGCTTGCCATTACTTGTGTCACATAATGTGCATAAAATGGTCTTTGCTATATTTTGTTTTGTACCGGTTTGGAAAACCCCTTAAGGACCTTCTTGGATGATTTTTCACTATCCAATGCTTCTTGGAACGTCAAGTTTGCCTTTCCTGTGAGGGAACATGACCACACCATGGAATTGCAGAGGATGACACGAGCGTAATATTCACTGAAATCAAAGATGCAGGTTTAGTTTCCAGCAATTTGAAGCAAGAAATTTACATTTAATTATAACATACTCGTAGTCCCGAAATATTTCATTGGTTAATTTAAGATAATATACTTCCTCGTCGTCCTTCAAATCCTGTGGAATCGGTTTCGCTTCAAATGGGCGTCTCTTATATAACGGCATTTTGGCTATGCAAAAAACGGTAGTGTTCCATACAGTGATATAAATACATTCAATCTTGATCCCGAGTTCACACCTATTCAAAAACATACACAATTATTAATATGTTTAACATATATTGTAAAATTAAATTGCTATTAATAATTTTTCATTAGAAAAACTTGCAGCACACACGAATCTACTTTCCGTCCAGACTACTCACCACAACTAACCACCTAGACACAATATATCCTATCCTAGATCTACTCTCGTCTAAATGATTAATTAAATGACATCAAATTTCTGGAGAAAATGTCAGTTATCCGATTTCGGAGATGAGATTGACTTTGTTTGAGCGGAGCGGGCTATCAGAAGCAACGTCAAGCTTTTGGATGGCAACCACCAACTATAGAACCAAGTGCAATTAGGGCAGAAGACGAGTCCAATCCAATTCAGCAAAAAAAGAAGAAACCGACACTAGCAGAATCCCAAGAAAATGAGGAAATATTAGAAGAAAATGCTCACCTTTGTTAGCCTTAGGATCCCTCGAGGAACCTTGAGGAAGGGGTGGGTCAGGTCCGATATCACACCCCAGAGGAAAAATTTTCTGGGAATATTTCGAGGGGGACGACGATATTTCTTGGAGCAGGTGAGTGATGTGGAGAAGAGAGAGAGAGAGCGAATACTGGTGGTGGTGGTGGTTAGTGGTGGAGTGCCGAAGAGGAGCGAGCGAGGGAATAATGTAGGCAACAAGGAGAAACAAGTTGAAACAAGTCTAAACGCTTCCGAACGGCCCATACTGCTCTCAATTCCCGCAGCTCTGTTGTCGCCAAGAGTCGCATCTTGCCTCCAAAATGGTCTCGAATGCCAACCGTCTCAATTTCGCAGTCTCTTTGTGCACTTTTACATGATAACTGGCTTGCTCGTATAATGGTCATTCAGTATTAGACATATATTTCTATTTTCTTTCATAATATAAATTCATTTCGTTGTTGAAAATAAGGCACATAAAACTCTACCTATTACAATCTATTCATCACATGCATATATAGTTTAGCTTATCGTTAATTATTTATCCTTTAAATTGGACTAAGATATAAGCGACGATTAAGTCATGATAATTTAGGCGTCGTTGTCGTCGTCAGTCGATGAACTGATGATGATTGATTTTCCTTTCCAAAATATTTCGACAGTTATACTTGTGATGTAAAGATCAGTTCTTTTTGAAACAGGTTCAGACTAACTAGGGATTAGCTACATATATAGTTGCAGTACTTGAGAATCAAAAAGTTATGTATATTTTCATTTCGTTTTGTTTTCTATTTCCTAGTCTGGGAAATAGTTTGCAGAAGACATCAATAAGTTTGGCTGATTAGAGTGGTTTGAGCTAGTACCATTATTGTTATTGGTCACTGTATGCTGGTGATAATAATTGTTGTTGTGATGTTGATATCCTCTTGGCGAAGGTAGATTTAAATGATTTCCGCTATCGTTAGCTGGTATTAGAGTATTTGAATCAACAATCCCGTCATTGGCCTGGTAAACGGAAGAAAAAGAAGTTGAAGACGCCACACTACTTCTTGATTGAATTTGAACACCGGACAAGGAAGAGTCACTAAATAGAAGAGTCGAACTTATTCCTTGTGCAGGACTATGACCAGGAGGATTATGACTTCTAGCAGTATTTGTGTAAATAAAATGTTTAGCATGGCCCAACTCATTTGGAATGGGAGAAATTGTTTCTGGAGGGGTGTTGTGACGACCAACGGTCACTTGAGTTAAGGATGAATCCAAATCCCGTAATATATGTAGATTCCCAAATGACCTCCCGAAGTCATCTTTAGTCACCTGAGTGATAAGTAAGATTTCAAAGCGTGACATAATAATACAGACAATGATGATATTTAGGTACCTGCACTGTTAAGTGTGGAGCTAACGGCTGAAATTTGTCATATACTTTTGACAAGACTAGCTGCTCCTATATTTAATTAAAATCATACTTAATTAAACTTATTGTATTTCATTACAAATTAATTATAATTCTGTTCTATGATAAAAGTATGCCTTACATTTGCATCTCGTCGTACACGAACATGGAGAGTTCCAGCCTAGAGAAAGTTGGCAAGATTTATGAATCTAGGATTACTGATTATATGTGGAAAAGAAGGATTAGATTATTGATTATAATCATACCGTCTGTCCATAAGTTAATGTCCAGAAAAGTTCATTTCGAAACTCTAAAACCCCATCAATGGTAAGCGCTTCTCGTAGCGATTTCTCAAGCTGTGCAACAATGTGTGGAGGAACAGTCTGTAAACGGAAACATACATGTAGATATTCATCTATTTATATACTTACATATTTATCATTTATGTATTATCACAATTATCACAAATAGGCACTACAAATCTAGTTGTTTATAATGTTAGCCTGTACCACCAACCTGCAGCAAAACTTGTGCTATGTAAACCACCAAGGGCCATAGTGCATCAAATACAGCCAATATTATTAGGATTCCCCCAATGAAATCAAACCATATTGGTCTGGAAAAATTAATTATACGATAATGAAAATGATGACTATATTTATACCAAAACTAATATCATATGTAATGTGATGTGAGTTTATTCACTTACCCAGTTTGCAGTGCAAACGCTAATATGAGAACCGTAGAAATGGAGAAAGCTCCCAAAATAGCAAATGGGCTTAAAGCAAAAGTACTTGTGGAAGACAATGATAGTCCAAAACTGGCACAAACTCCCTGAAAGTATTTCTGTAAAGCTGTACTTGTTGATGATATTTTATAAACTTTGAGAAATGGGCTGTTGTTGAATGACATGAAGAAATGGACGAGTCCTCCTACAAGGGCTCCAGGAATGAATCTTCCCCTGTACCAAATATACAAGTTACGAATCAGTGTTTTTAGTAATAATTATGGAACATAGTCAACATAGTGTAAGGGATAAAAAAAACTGACGTGTGAATTCCTTGCTCTTCGGGTAATTGAAGAAGAGTCAATTCTAATGATTTCTTTACTGTCCAACAATTGAGCAGCAAGCCCAAACAAAGGACCGAAAAGTGAGTAAGCACTTCTACTCGAACATAACCAAAGCTAAATGAAGTTGCTGTTTTTCCTCCCGTGAGCCATGTTTGGCTTGACAGATCTGCAAACAAACTATAAACGAGGTGACGACAAGGTATAATAAACCGTACTGTACGTTTATTCACAACAAGAAATTAGAATTACGTGATTGTGTCGAAAAGAATGATTCCAAAGAACGCATGAAATGCTGCAAAATATTTCACTCATTAGTCAACACATTTACATGGAAAGTATGCAACAATTGAGAATGTTGAGAATTCGTGTGCGAGTTTTCATACCACAACTATTGGACTGCAGTGCCCACGAGAATAGAACGGAAACAGCGACAAGGGAGAATGGGAAGGCTAATAATTTACGACGATAATTTTGAATTGCCCATAATTGACTCAAGGAACGCAATAATTTTGATTGGATTCGTATAGCCCTTTCCCCCTATATTACGAAAAGATAACAATAAAAATATCTCATAATTTCAGTACACATAGTGCTTGAAATTTTACCCATTTCGCAGTAAAGTGCCATTTCATGACGGCCTCATCTGATCATCCCCTCTCATATAATGTCTCAATTTTACACCAAGACGAGACAATTGGTGTGAACTTTATTTTATAAACTTAGAATGTTATAACCAGGTTAAGACGCGTGAAAATTAATAAACCCTGTTCTATAAATTTGAAATTATTCTCTTCTCTATAAACCCTTCAAGACAAATGAAAATGTAAACAAATCGATTGCAAATAAACAGTCTGTGCTTATTTCTAACTACTTTTAAGATTCAACTCTTGTATGTATCCCCACTACAAGATGGGGGTTATTTTTAAATACCATAAATCAAAAGCAATGAATGTATTTATTTTTATTTATGATTTTTTATACCGACACGTAGCAAGAGGATGAACATCAAGGAGAAAGTTCGTCTCATCTGGAGAGTGAAATGTGAGATTTATCAGAGCGGCTGTGCCACAAGACTCCACATGGCTTTCTCACACATCACTTTTCAGTCAACAACTTTAGCTGAGCTGCTGACTTTTGTTTTTCGTCCCTTCATCCTTAAATTTAAAACCATACCAATTCTTAATTAACAGTTGAAGAAGATACTTCAGCAACTGGAATTAGCTCGGTTTGTTAATACCAGTCCATACGCAGATTTTAATAATGGTAAGAGAAAGCAAAAAAATCGTTTCACAATAATTATTTACAGTCGAGTCGAACGTGTCATATATAAACATAGCCTATCTATATCATATATTCAACATTAAACATGAATTAATTGCAATTTGTGTTTGAACTATAGGGTAGAGCAAAGAAAACACGGGGATTTCGGCAGCAATTTGCCCAAATGAAGAGAATGATCAGTCTTAACGATCCACGATTGTAAGTAATATCTCATTTGGGGTCATCTTTACATCATTATTATCTTGATAATAATTAAAACCTTTATAATGTGTACAATCATTATTCAGAAAAGCCAAGGATCGACAGACATCGAAAAAGAGTAAAAATAAATTAGAAGCTGAAGAGCCACCTAAACGTGAAGTGTGAGTAAACATTCTGCTTGGAAACTACAATTCAATTAAAGTTGTTTAATAGATTGATAGATTTAATTGAAAGGACGAAATGTTTTATTTTAAATCTAGAGCACAGCGATCTACTGCCCTGTTCTTTGACTACAATACACAACTTGGTCCACCCTTTCACATCCTGATTGATACTAACTTTATCAATTTTTCCATTCAAAACAAACTCGACATATTCCAATCAATGATGGATTGTTTATATGCAAAATGTAAGATTAATATTTCATTTATTCGGTAATATATAGTATCAGACATTGTTAGGAAACTAGTTTCACTAATGCAGAGTAAATTTATTTCACAGGTACACCGTACATAACGGACTGTGTTATGGGCGAGTTGGAAAAACTTGGGAGCAAATACAGAATAGCACTAAAAATTATCAAAGATCCCAGATTTGAACGATTGCCTTGTTTTCATAAGGGAACATATGCAGATGACTGTTTGGTTCAACGGGTGACACAAGTACGTGCGACACTGCCTGCAATGGGCGTAATCGATACTAGGTTAATTATATAGGTTAGTTAGATTAACTCCCTAACCAAGTCTTTTAATTTAGCACAAATGTTACATTGTTGCAACTTGCGACAAAGATCTAAAGAGGAGAATACGAAAGATTCCTGGAGTACCCATTATGTACATAGCACAGCACAAGTAAGTACACATTATATATTATCTATCATGATTGACATATTTATGCATCAAATATTCATGTAATTCAAAAACTTGACGTAATTAATGAATATTGTGTTTTGTAGATTTTCTATTGAACGGATGCCAGATGCCTATGGCGCACCACGCAACTAAACCTTAAGATTAGCGCAGTTATGTTTTGCATAAATGGATATTTCCTGTTTTTGATCCAATTTTGTTTCAAATTCAGTTTCACCTCGTAAAAAAATAATTTGAAGTTATCAATATTTCAAACATTATTTTTACATTTGGTCTGGTATATAGTATTAGAATTAATTAACCAGTGTATTTTTTACAACTGCATCATTTTAGGCTTTAAAGAATAAATGACAACTTTTTCTGAATCTACTAGGGCGAAACTTTGCAAGTTTCAAATTTTAAAGTTATTAACTAAATAGTTACTTTTTACAGTTGATTATTGTTGTAATTCGAAAACGGTTGTCTTCCCTTTTTCACATCGCCGACTGACAAAGAATGCATAGATTTCCCACCAGCGTCCCCTTCTGCTGTATTCAAGGTCTCTTTCTTTAATAGCTTTCTTGGTCGCAAATTTTTCGGTTTTGATTCAAAATTTTGACCTTCCTCATCACCATTATTATTCGGAGAATTGTGACTACTTCCCCTAGCTCGTCGTGCACGCTCACTTATGAGTATGTCCAGCTAGAATAATATCAATAATGTGTATAATTGCTGTTATGAAATGGGCTAATTGCGTCTAGAAGACATAAACTGGGTGATACCTTTTGACGCATTGTAGAAACAATGTCATCGTCAGATGAACAATAAACTTCATCTCGAAGCTGAGCCCTGTAATGTAAATGATCACTGAGATGGAAAATAAGTTATGAGATAACAAATAGTAATGTATACCTAATTCTTTCAGTTCGTCTCTTAAGTGCTGCGGGTTCAATGAATACCCCAAATGTCTTGGGCTCCAACAAAGCTGGTTTTGTTGTCCTTCTTGAGTTCTGATTCTGAACGGCATTTTCTAAAATTTGGGCAATCCGTGCTTCTTTCGTGACACTAGTTGTAGCAGGTGCTTGTTCCGACAATTCTGAACGGTATGCAACCACACCGGTATATTTTGGAGGCAATGGTGGTTTCGTGGTTGTAACAACATTGAAATTCCAATCTTTGGCCATGGTAGACGGAAGACTTGACTCTTGGGTTCGATTACCCAAATCTGGTGCAATAGAGCGCATTTTTATATTGTCAAGTTTTGTGCTTGTTGCGATGTCATGTTTCTCGTACTGCATAGGGTCTTCAAGAGATTGGTTTTTACTAACAAAAGAAGTAGCACCTCCATTATGCTTATCGGTTCGTCCATTTTTACTAGGCGGAGACGACGACTCTTGTGGAGTGGAGTTGGTTTCAATAAGTTTATGTTTGTTATTTTCTTGATTGGATCTGAGTTTGAGAGTATAAGGTTTTATGATGGGATTGATTGGTTTCTTTATCTCTATACTCGATAACGTCGAGTCCCTTTCTTCCGGTTCATTGTATATGCCCAATGTTTTGATTTGAAGGGAAGCGTCACTTTCAAACCGTCTTGTTTTATGATGTCGGTTTTCCAATATCTGCGCAATCCGTGTAACCTTTTCAATACTTGTATTGGTAGTATTTTCTATAGGGGCGGATGGATTTTCGCCTTTGAATTTAGAATGCAGTGGAGCTATTCTATTGCATACTCTTGCGCCTGAATCCATATCATCACTGTCCCTCAAACTAATCTTAAGTAAAGGGCTGCTTAATTCCACTTGTCCCACAGCAGCGACCTTGGCAGCATCATTTGTCTTTTCCAATATATGTAGATTTCGTATCTCTTTTACGATACGAGCACCAGAATTTTTTTCTGCAAGCGGATCTGCATATTTTGAAGGTAGTTGTTGTTGTAGTAGTTTATTGTTGTTACAATCGGTAGAGGTTTGGGGATAGCTTAGTCCTAAACGCTTTGCTGCTTTGGCAGCATAGTTGTTGGAGTTGTTATTTTCAACATTTTTTGCTTTTTGACGAACATTTTCTAAACTCTGTGCAATTAACGCCATTCTTGTTTCTTTTGCAATATTAGTGGATATTTTTTCAGAGCGATAGATTGCTGCTCCTGCATATTTGTGAGTTACGTTTGGTCTCTTTGTAACGACCGAGTTATTGTTATTCTTGTCCATCATCGTTAGATTGTAGCGTAATGATGGCATTGCTGCTGCTGGGGGTGGTGGTGACGGTTTACTGCTTGAAATGGTCTCGACCATTTGTCGAACTATTTTAGGTTTATTATTTGGGGATTTATTTTCTATAACAGCATCTTGATTTTTATTTCCCGAAGGAACTCCGATGACTGATTTATCCGTTGTTATTACAGTTTTTTTGTGTGGAGAATCACCTTGATTTGAAGTTACATGGAGCTTATTTTTGCTATCGCGAGTTGGCAAATTGGGTTTAAGAGTGCGAGATCGTATATTAGGATTAGTCGGTTTCTTATTAATGTCGGAAGCGTTCAGCACCGCTTTGTCCCTCTGTCCCTTTGGAGTTTCTGGAGACAAACCTCCTCGAAGAATGGGAGATGATGACTTTTTTACAGTCGTTGATGCTTGTTGTTTCTGAGGTGTGGAAAATTGCATTTTGATTCTTTTTTGCTGTGGAATTAAAAATAAAACATTTACGATGTTTTTATATATACACTTAGCAAATGGTTAAAGATAATATCCATTATTTACGGGTTTCTTATCTCCTAACGTCTTCAAATCTAGATGACCATAGTATTGAGATATCATAATCCTTCCAAGTTCGTCACCACAAACTGCAATTATTGGGGTCTTGACAATTTCGCTCTCGGGAACTTTAAAATCTCTGAAATTTAGACGAGTTTGTAATGACTTCATTAGACTAATTACATTAAGTGGTAAAAAATTATATTATTGACGAGATAATTGTGGGTATAATGGTTACAAACCTGACATCATTGAAATATGGATGATTCATAACTCTTTGACTAGTAGGTCTCCCATCAGGGTCATAGGTTAACATTTGTTTTACAAGATCTCGAGCCCCAGCAGTGAGGAATGCTGGGAGTTTACGATCAAGTCCGATTTCTTTCCCCGTCGAATTATTATTCCAATCAAAAGCTTTTGACTTGCTGTTGAGGGAAAATTTTAATAAAAAATCTTCTGTCATAATTTCACATAATGCAGCAAGTTAATGATTGATGTAGGATGGAAAACATTATTTTGACATTCAACGCATACCCTTCATCGTACTTTGGATTTTTCCAGAACTCGTTGATTACTTTTAACCTATATAAAGATTTGGAAAACAGCTATGAAGGTTTGTGTAGGAAAAGGGTTAGAAGGCGAATAAAGACATGAAAATGCAAATCAATAATGAATTTGAAAATCCGACCACCATGCACATACATTGAATCCCAACGATTCTGCTGATTTTTTGAACGATACAATTTTTTGTCACTCTCCGCGCTGTACGAGTTTCCAAAGATAAAATTCAAAGTCAATATGAAGGATATAGAACGCATGAGTTTAAAAGAATGAATCTTACAATTTTGAAAATTTCTGTAAAGTCTTATGAGATGGTGGTCCCATAATGCTATGAATTCGATTAATTTGGTCTATTTCGCTTGATCCAGGGAACAATGGTTGCAAAGTCAGGCTGTACAAGTGAATTTTTGTCACATAAATATACATCTATTTTAAATTAAAATCGATGATGTTCCTTATGTACATTTCATAGAATACACATCCTGCAGCCCATATATCCATCTTGAACCCATATTGTCCTGCAGTTAGCAAACATTCAGGGGAACGATACCATCTTGTTGAAATGTACTCTGTAAATGGTGGTTGACTGTAGACCCCACGAACAGAACCTAGATCTCCTAATTTCAGCACGTTTGACTACAATGGATATAAAATGCATTTGAAATTAATTCCTGTTGTGAAAACTTTGTAATCACATACATGATCTTTTAACCTTTAGTCGAATGAGTATATTTTCTGGTTTGATGTCGCGATGAAACACACCATATTTATGAAGATGACGTAGAGCTTTCAGCAACTGAAAAATTAAATCTATATCATTGACTAATTTTCATGCTGACATAAATGCATTACCTGGTACATGAAAAGTCGAACTGTGCTCTCTGGAAGTAATCTGGTTGACACAAAAGAATACATACATATCAAATCGAACAAGCTTCTATAAAAACTTAAACTTCTATACTGCTTTTGTGTCGCTGTTACCTTTTTCGATCTTTGATAAACTCGTACAAATTCATATCCATGATTTCGAAAACTAATGAAACCTTTCCTTGCTTGACATCGCTAAAAGTTAAAATAATATTGAAAATTACGATGGGAAAAGCATTAATGATAATAAGAAATACAATATTAATTATTTGTATGTACTAATGAATCTCCAACATTTGAAGGATTTGGGGATGCCGAGCCAATGTTCTTAGGGTGGTCACCTCTGGAATATCATTGACTTGATTCCAACTAAAATAAAAACCCACTATTTAAAAAAATACTCACAGTTGCATCAAATTAATTAAAGTCAAGTTAGGAGGTATAATGTACCTCTTATAAACATGTCTCAACCTCTTACATGCTACAAAAGTGCCCGTTTCCACGTTTTTGCATTTAATAACCTCAGAATACGATCCTTCTCCAATCTTTTCTATTAGTCGGAACCCTGAGAGAAAGAAATCATGATAATTTTATTTCTCCTCTGTGTTATAAGGTAACATGACAAGGTGTAACTTTTTAGAAATGTGTCATTCTCTGCAATGGATGGCAATCCTCTAGGTCCGCAGCCTTGACCTCCTTCTTTTGTGTCCCCTCCCATCCTCCTTTATCCAATACTGGCAACAAATATATATAACCTGGTCGTCTCTTCCAGATCTCACCTTCATTCCTGGAATAACACAAAATAAAATTTCATAAGCTAATATGCATAATAGTTAATATGCAGAGAATACAATACATATACTCCAATCATTTCAGAGTATCAATAACTTAAGATATATGTCGTACGTGCATTGATGCATATTTGTATTTGTATATATTCATATTATTTCGTATTTATTCGTCGATGTAAAAATAAACCGAATCAAGACAAGCCCTGTAATCAAGACGCATAAAAATTGATTACAAACGGTTTCATATGCATGATTTTTTACTCGAAAAAATCTCACACTGGTCGTGCTGAAAGCAACTCAAATGCTAAAATTCACCTGTCAAACAACTACAACTACAGCATAAGATGTGAACAACCACCAAAACAACGGGACTCTTCTCGCCGTCACCCTTTTTCGGTTGTTCACATTTTTAGACGACAGCAGGTAAGAAAATTATAGCATTTACAACTAAATTAAAGTAAACCCATTTATCTGCCAGCTACGTATCAAAAGATTCCTTTGTGGATGGCAATTACCCTCTGGGTGAAGTTAATTATAATCTTTTTTCATCTGGCCGTCATTTTCCATCCTGCTTTTACTGCGTGGATTGGGTGATCGATTGGACTAATTTGCTGCTGCTCTGCCATAAATTTAATTGTGTCAATACGTCTCAGTATTCCGGTTCAAATTACAATTCCACGCGTTATCATCGAATCAGGGGAGAGAAAAATAAATATGTAAGCTCTTCTTCTGCCCTGGCTGATGTGGAACCACAAATTTTGCACACAATGGAAAAGGAATATTATGCTGTTTTGCCGTCTGTCCATTTATTTGTGCTCCAGCCACAGCAGCTAGAGACCGATTAATTGCGTGAATTGAAAAGTGAATTTGAAAGTTAATTGTTGTTATTAAAACAAAGTCCATAGTATGAGTGCTTAGCTTAAAACTTGTGTACATAGGGAGAATTTAATAAGCTTGACCTATCCGGGTAGCAAACTTAAAAACTTGAGTTGAAAATAATATCACTGTAAGCAATACGATACGAACGACGAATACGACGACGATGAATTTATACATAAATATTGATTACTAAAAAAGAAAACATTCTTACGATTTTTCTCAGCTATTGAACTTGGTTGATCTGGAATTGTTTGTTTTGCAGGTTTTTATTCGTTTCCCGAGAGCCGGTAGTTATTCAGTGGGGGTCGCCGGAAGGAGTTCAAATTGTATAAGTAGCCTCCGCTAGTGATGATAAGCAGCTAATTCAATTCGGTACGTGTCTACAATCAATCAACGACTGACTGATTTTTTTTTGTGATTTTACGATGCGCACCGTACAACAAAACGAAACTAAACGTGCAAATCTACGAGCTTATCTGTCCTTCAACGAAATGATGGTCTGACTAACAAAAATCCATCTGCAATCTATAAAATTTAGTTGCCCTGATAAACTACCTTTTTTGTGGCCCGCCCATTCAAGGGCCTACAGTTTTGAACATCAATGTATTTATATATGTATTTAGTAGACTTCCCTACAGTTGCTAAGAATGCGTACTTGCAATTTCTCCACACTTTTCTTTCACATCATGGCATGGAGTGTGAAAATTGATTGTTTTGCATAATCCTTCGTGAAAAATATTAATTGAATTTATCGTTCTATTTCTGATTGGCAGTATTTCAACATGAAGACAGTGGCGTGGAAGCGTTCTAGGGTGCTGAAACTTGGTGGCGTTGCTACCATAATTCTTTTCGTCTTTGTGCTATTTATCAGATCCGGAAACGACGGAGAATCGCATGGATGGAATTTACGAAGCGAGGCGCTGGTTAGCAAAAGTTAATGCTGATTTACAATTTCTATATAGTTGCTAAATGGAATTATTTCATAGAAATCTCGATTAAGGACAGAAAGAGAAGTTCCTTTCTTAACTCCTGAAAAATTGGGAAACTTTGAGCCGGAAGGCGAGTTGTGAATTTTAATTTATTAGTTCCAGTTTACAATGTACACGAAATACGAGTATTTTTACGCAACACTTATAAAATATAGAGGAGCCTATTGGAGATGGTCCCGGCGATGGGGGAAAACCATATCGTCTTCCCGCAAATAAGTAATATTTTTAATATTCGAATTTCAAGTTAATTTTATTATTACTATTTTATTATGTTATTTTTAATTGACTATTAATATTATATTTTAGACAAAATGAAGCAGATGAATCCATTTCCGAGTACGGAATGAATATGGCAGTTTCAAATGCAATATCATTAGAACGACCAATTCCCGATACCCGAATGTCTGAGTAAGTACAAGCTGACTTAGCAATTATGTTTTTTAAACTGCCGATCGTTGAAATTAAATAAAATATTTCTAGATGCAAACATTGGCATTATCCTGAAAATATGGGACTGAAGGCCAGCGTGGTAGTCGTATTCCACAATGAAGGATGGTCAACTCTGATGAGGTTCGTACAAATTTTTTAAAATATACGTAGTCATTAATTGGATTACCGTTTGATATATATTTTTTTGCAAAGAAATGTTCATACAATTATTAAAAGATCGCCTCCGGAAATGCTTGAAGAAATAGTGCTAGTTGATGACTTCAGTGACAAAGGTTTAAATTGGTTTAAACAGATATGAATAAGTTGTAAATGAATTTGATCTTACAATTGTAGAAAACCTGAAGGATGAACTTGACACTTACATTAAACGTTTCAATGGAAAAGTTAAATTAATTAGAAATACTCAACGAGAAGGACTGATCCGAACTCGAACTATTGGAGCTCAGCAATCTAAAGGAGATGTCGTTGTATTTTTAGATGCGTAAGTTTTTGAAAAATTGTAAAGTGGACAACAATCAGAGTTAATGTATATTTTATAATTATTTCAGACATTGTGAAGTCAATAGGTAAACTGATATTCTATTTAGATTTTGCCTCTCATTCATTATTCGTCTTATCTCCTGTAGTATCGTAGTACAAGATTATTAAATTTATGTAATGTTTGTTCGAAATAGAAATTGGCTTCCTCCATTGTTAGCCCCCATATACAAGGATAGAACTACAATGACCGTGCCATTTATTGATGGCGTGGATTATCAAACGTTTGAATACAGGCCTGTGTATTCCCCTGGCACACTGTTTAGAGGAATTTTTGAATGGGGGATGTAGTAAGCAATTCATTAATAAAATCCTACCTGATATAACCCCTCAAAAGTGTCACAGAAATATTACATTACACTGAATATTCTAGTTATAAAGAAACCGAACTTCCTCCCGATATGGAGAAAAACCGTCCACACAAGTCTGCTCCGTACAAGTATGCACAATATTGTTTTGGTGTGTAAAGCCAGATTTATATAATTTTATCGTTCCTTTCTTTCTCGTTGTCATATTCGGTCAATTCTCACAATTTCGTTAACAAGAAAGCATTGAAAGCAATTGCGATAGTATAAATCTGGCTAATTTATTAAACAAGTGAGATTATATATTTAACAACAGGTTTTTATTTAGATCACCAACTCATGTAAGTCATAAATAGACACGTGGATGGTGTATTATTTGGTGACGGTTTCTTCAAATATTTAATATATTAAATGTTATATCTCATATGATTTAAAAATTATTTAACAGGCTGGTGGACTGTTTGCCATTGAGAGGGAGTATTTCCTTGAATTAGGGGCTTATGATCCAGGTCTTTTGGTTTGGGGCGGAGAGAATTTCGAATTGTCTTTCAAAGTATGGCAATGCGGTGGAAGTATTGAATGGGTCCCTTGTTCTAGAGTCGGGCATGTGTATCGTGGTTTCATGCCTTATAGCTTTGGAAAGTTGGGAGAAAAACACAAGGGTCCATTGATCACAATTGTAAGTCTTTTCATTCCGCACATGCCTTGATATTAATTAGTTGCAATTTTTGTTTTTATGCTAATGCATAGTAAGCATTTCTATATTATGATTTATTGATTATTATAGAATTACAAACGTGTGATTGAAGTTTGGTTTGATGACAAGTACAAGGAGTTCTTTTACACTCGTGAACCTCTAGCACGATTTTTGGATTCAGGTGATATTTCGGAACAACTCGCTATTAAGGAAAAATTCAAATGCAAAAGTTTTCAATGGTGAGATTACTTAATAAAGACTGGAATCATATGAAATAACGATTAATGGCATTAATGACTATGACTGTAATATCAGGTTCATGGATAACGTCGCCCCAGATATGTTGCATAAATATCCAGAACTTCCTCCGAACTTGTACTGGGGAGAATTCCGAAACAAGGGCACAAACACTTGTAAGATTAATATCCTTAAGATTGGAATGTTTCGAGAATGACACTTTTTCTCCTTTTGTGACAGGCATGGACACAATGGGGCGTCCAGCTCCAACAAAAATGGGAGTTTCGGGATGCCATGGTCTGGGAAGCAATCAGGTATAACTAAATTTATCCCATATTTCTAAATTAATACACGGAACGAGTTCTGCTTATTCACTGTTTATAAATCCGGTTTTAGGTCCGATACCGCAAGAGTCAGGCACGAACTGTGAACCTTTCTATCTCTTCACCAGATTGTTTATAGCTTCCTAGGAATTATAATTTCTTCCTTTTAAACTATTTTTTTCTTTTCAATGTTGACGGTGGAGAGATTAATGGTCCGCAACAAACCTGCAAATGTGTTAATGCGAAAACTACTCGTTCGCCTTTTAATGATCCCCACATTTTCATCGCTAAAATAGCTTTTGGCCAATCTTCCTTTTTATCCTATTTAATCTGCGTGACTCTTTTTTGTTTATTTTACCTTTTCCATTTTTTTCCACATCCAAAAAGTTTTGCTAGACATTTATATTTATTGTTATGCAATAATTTTTGCCTTTATGATCTAGTTGGTTCGATTAAACGAGAAGGGTCAAATTGGAATTGGGGAACGATGTGTTGATGCGGACAAGAGCTCTGTAAAATTAATATTCTGTCCAATGGGAAAAGTTGATGGCCCTTGGGTGTACGCCGAGGTAAGGAAGCATAACCAATTTTGTGCTAAACACTAGTAATTTACGTATGTATGGATTTATCTTCAATCTTTTGTTGTATTTCAGAACGAGCTGACACTTAAACATAAAACATTTGACAAGTGTTTGGCAGTCCATCCATCAAATAATCAATTGATTCTGCGCGAATGTGATGTAGATAACACATACCATCAATGGACTTTCAAGAAATTGAAGTCGCGTTATTAATCACTGAACTACAGCCAACATAATTGTGATACTACTGCTGACTACGCCATTGTGTTTCGTCGTCATTGTCGTGTCATGTCGTATACAGGAAGGGGGAGGGGTAACAAGTTGAACTGATTTTCTATTTATTGGGATTTGTTTGTTACTGGTTCTTGCCGGCGTAAATCAATTTTAATCCATGCATATTATTTCTGTACACATCAAATTTGTCGTACTGTGTCTTCTATAAATTATGATTACATTATGGTGTAGTAGTTTCCTTTCGTGCCTTACAATCAAGTTCATTCTATTGGTTCTAACGAATTCGAAAAACTGAATATATTGCAAACTGAAATCAAGGAACTAGTCTCCATATTTTCCTTCCATGAATGTGCAATATTTTATCGTACTTTTATACGATTAGTGTAGCTATTTACCAATTACAACGAATTTAGCGTGTAAAATCTACGTATTTTTAGTACATGAATTAGTAAACACTACGTACATAAATTAGTTATTTTAACATTAGTGTTGTGCAAGTTGTATCTTTTTATATGCGGTGTTGACAATTATTGTTTGTCTATATATACGAATTATTTTGTGTGAATGAGTAGATATTTTGATTGAATTTGTTCAACTTTAATAAATTTCTATAAAAATATATTAATAAACAAATTTACCAAGACTTGTATTTGTTTCGTCATGATGGTTTAAAATTATTTTTATAACATTCTAAACTACACAGAGGGACTCCTGTCTTGGAGCAAGTATATTTTTTCAGCCTTGTACATCCTTCTACGCCACATTGGGGAGGCTCTTGACACCTTTTCATTTTCATGGATAAGTAATCAATATTTTACTTATGATTGCATTTGTATGCTATTAAATAGATAATACCTTGGGGGATTTTGTACAGCTTTTGTTGCATGGAGTCCATGAAAGACAGATATGTCTAAACCCACGGGGAATGAAATTGAATTTGTATCTCTTCGTTTCACATACGTTATCATACGTCCACTGGCTCTTGCTTGCTTTGATTTCATTACAGTCCCCCTGCTAAGTTTCATCTGTGGCTTCTTCAAGAGTCGGTCCACTGTCCTTTTCTGCAAAATATTGACAAATTTTAAAATCTTGCATCCATTGTTACATCGTAGCTTGCTTATCATGTTTAAATGCTACATACCTTATCATATTCTTTTTTCATGTTAGCCAATACTCGTCTTCGTTCAGATTTTTCCTTCCGTGTGCTGATACTGATGGAACTTGCAGAAGTTGTGGCCAACTCTTTTGGGATTTCCGTGTCGTCATCTATGCCATTATCAATGTCAATGGAGAATCCTGTGTCCTTCTTAAAGATAAAAGACTTTTGTCGTTCTGTCAGCAGTCTTGCCGTTGTAGAAATGTCGTCAATGTCCACTCCCTCGTCTAACTTTCCAACATCCAAAGTGTCAAACCACTTGTCCTCTTCTGAACTGTCATCCCCAACGCCTAATTTTGTTTCTGAGGCGGCCATATTGTTTGCGCCGTCGAAAGTTCTAACAACGTCCTTGGTTTTCTCTAAATGTTCTGACGTAGTTGAAGATTGTAACAATAACGAGTTGCTAGAAATGTTATCCTCATTTCTTGTAATGGTTTTAGGTGGGGTCGTCGGCGTCTTATCCGCACCGTACGTTCGGCACGATTTGTATGGCGTAAAGTAATACTCGTCATCCTGGGCTGTTCCAGGTCCAGCTTCCTCGCGTAATTTGCGCTTTTCTGCCAATCTTGCCGATTTCTTAGGACTAGGCGATAAAGTGCTGGGGGAGCTGGATGATGATTGCCTTTTAGCAGTTAAACGGTCACCTTGTTCTGAGATTCAAAATGATAGCAACTAAGAGATAATCCCATTTAATAGAACACCTTGAATTTTTAGTGCATTATTGCTTACCTGCCACTTTTATTTCTCGTACTACTGGCCTCGTTGCAACAATTGCAGTAGTAAACGGACGTTCAGAATTATTCCCAGAGTTGTCGTTCATTTTGGAAAATCAGAAGTGAATTGTAAGAATTTCAAAATTGTTCTACTATTGACGAGTCCCAATCTAACAGATCGAAGTTGAATATAGTAATTATTTGGACAAAGATTGAGGAAATTGAGACGGGATTTGCTACTTTTTAGTTGTCTCACATTTAGACATTCACAAATAAACAAGTGAGATTTTAAGAATCGAACGAACCATCGCCTTCTCGGGCAATCTAAGAATTTCTCATTTGCCTCTTGATAATTTTCTGATGTGACTCAGGTTGCATGGAAACCTGGATTTGACCAAAGAACAAAAGTGCGATTCCCTATTTCGAATAAATTATTTGCTTTCTACTAGCTGAAAATATCAGTGTACACAGATTGTATAAGGCGCCGTCCATAAATTACGTAACGCTGGCTGACATGAGCAGGATAGGGAAAAAATCCTATCTTGCCCATGCTAGCAAGCGTTACGTAATTTATGGACGGCGCCTAAATATAAAATTTCATCTAAGGATGGAAAACAAAATGGATGACAAATTTATGGAGAATTTAAAGTCCATGTCGCAAGGTATCTTGGAAGAGGTACGGTAGAAAGATAACTCAAGTCTTGCTATCAGTAGTGATCACATACCTTTCTTCTGAACAATAATTTTGCATTTATTTATTACATTTTATAGCAACAACTTCGACCAGAAACGGCGTACAGGTCACTGATTCCGACGGCTAGAGTTCCATCTGCATTTGGCCTTGGACGACCACCTACAGGAGGAGCGGGGTTAAGATCGGATAGTTTGTCTGAAGAGGTAACAACGCTAGCATCCTATCGACCAGAGTCTGCGGCCTTTACCTTCACTGGGACGAGACCCATGACAGGGCGCATGATGGCAGATTCTGATCGGGGATCGGTATGACCATTACCCAAAAGTCAAAACCACATATTTACCACAACGGATATCATATTTTAAGTATTCATAGGTTAGAGGTATAGCACAGCCGTCAGCAAGACCTGTCGTCCGACAAGGTCTGACCAGTTCCAGACCAAGAACCTCATTTCGCAAATTTGGTATACATATATTTAAATGATGCACAAGTTAGTTTTCCCAAATTCATGTGTGGTAATCACATTTATGTTGAGAAATTCATAGATGATTCTGAAGCTTACATACCAGATTTGGACGAAGTTAGGGAGGATGACTTAACCATGACAGTCGCTTCAGCCCCTTCGTAATCATGAATAACACCACATATACTGTACAAATAATTAATTAAACTAAAGCCCTATTTTTGTGTCAATTTATAGTTATGAGCTGCAACGAATAGCTAGCTTGACCGAATTGGATGCCGAGTTGTCCCAAACTAAGGCTTTATCTGTGGTCGATGGTGTTAATCTCCGCAAGCTGGTAATATTGACAATGATTACATACTTATGTTGACTGTGTGTGGTCTTCTTGAAATAGAACATCATTTCACTCAAATAAGTAATACATTGTTGTTTTTCAGTGCAAATTTATTGTTCCTGAGAAAGAATTAGTGGAGGTATCCAACTGTATTTAGTGTCATTCAAATTAATTACTAGTTAACACATTTCAAATTCATTAACATTGTAGCACGATGAGCCATGGACTTGGGACAGGCTGTACACGGAAATAATTTCTTCGCCAGACCTTAATCATTTAGTCCGATTTCAAAAAGAGAACGAATCTGATTTTGACTCACTGAACGTCAAATAATAAGGATGGACAGTTTATTTCAATATGAAGGAAATATAATTGCTAATGATACATCTAGAAGTTTTGGATGGAAAGTAAACTACTATTTTTAGGAAATAAGAATTATTAACTTTTTTAGCTTCTATATAATATAGAATAACGAATTCATAACGATACTTCATACAAAAATTCTGGAATAAAAAAATGTATTTCCTAATGAATTCTAGTCAAATCTTCGACAATCTTAATTATATCATCAACCAGGGCTTGTTGCTTCATACCCGTTCCTTGAGGATCAATCTGAAAAATTAATATTGCAAATTTGTTAGTTCCACCTTGAGTTACGTTAAACTGGCAAGCTGTCAGTCACATACCTGTAAACCATTTACAACATCTCTCATTGTATCACGGGGAAGATCCAAGAAGCTTTCAATAAGGTCTCCATCAATAAAACCCTCACTCGGCTCTTGCTTTCTGTCATTGTAGAAGCTCCTCCAATATGCGTGATCAACTTTTCCAACTGGTTTAATCACTTTTGTTAGTCTTTCTTGCAGTTCCAAAAGGAATTCGAAAAATGTACCCGGGATTTGTGTTATCAATCCTGAAAATATATTTTTTAATAAACTCTTTTTGCTAATAGGTATCAAATATTAAATCAAGTTTTACTAACCAACTGAACCACTTAATGTGCCGAATAAGATGCTTCCAGTTGTTGGTACACTGGTATCTCCTAAATGTTGCCGCACCAGTGACCCATGTCTAATTGTATTCACCATATCACCAAGATAAATTCTTCCAGCATCTTGCATTTGACACCTCTCTTCGTCCGTTGCGGCACCACTGTAAGTTAATCATACGTACTAATTACTTATTGTTTCTCAAAGAAAACGTTGTACGCAATATATACCCATCTTTTGTGCAAACAAACATGTTGAATGCATTGTCTGTTCCCAAAAATGTGTCATCATCGACAATTTCTATTGCTAAAGTAATACAAAAAACAAACGCAATGTAATACAGTTTATAATTTAATACATCTTTCATCAAATTTCCCTTACCTGTCATCCAATTTGGATTGTAATCGCGAGCAATCTGCAATTAATCCAAAGGTCAAACAATTTAGTAAAACTTATTTTGTGTCGTTAAAACTACTTTCATAAATTTTGAAGGCTTACCTCCTCAAAGGTACCCTCCATACTCTTATATTGCAGTAAAGTCATAGAACGCATCAAATCCCCAACAAGGATAAAGTCTCCCTTGCATTTCAGATATAGTGCCAATATGGAGTTAAAGTACGAGCATTCCACACGTAACTCTTTCTCGGATGTCCATTCGAATAGTCTGACGGTGCTGTTGATGCCAGCAAGGATTTTACCGTTAAATCCAGCAAGACAATAGCACGAGCCACGAACTTCTTTTTCTGCAATTTGTTGAAGTTTTCCATCGGCGTATTGAAATATTACAATTCGTCCAGCTTTTGGCTCAGTTTCGTCTGGTCGATATAGAAAATTGAAGAGGTATGCATGTAATTTTTTTTAGTTGATTAATGATAACTTATTAAAGTAATGTAAATAAACATACATACCTGGAACAACAAAAGCTGTTCCAACAATGTAATATGGAGTTTGATCCTCTCCCAACTTGCATGACTCAATACACATGGCGTATTCGTTCTGCATAAATTGGTGCGAGTGTAAAACTGCAAAATAATACACAATTTAAGTCAACATTATTACCTATTTGATGTTATATGAGGTGGGTACAAATTGTACCTTCAAAAGTGTGCTGATCAACAATCAGTAAATTATGAACTTCGACGTCTTGTCCGTATTCCAAGGGTTGTGATGGTAGAGATGCAGAAGATGGACCAGAGGTAGACGGCCTAATGAGCGTTCCAACGGATGACGAGCAGCTAACACTATAATTAAATTAGTAATATTGAGATTGGCATAATTAAACTTACTGTTTGTTTGAAAGTTAAGTCAGTGCTTAAAATATACTACTTAGTGTACAGTGAACATACCTCGCTGCCTGCGTACTAGCACTTGGTTTTGTCGGTGTTAGACCGGATGTGTCCATCATGTCAACGCGCATTGTGATGACGCCAAAAGTCTAAAACGATAAATAAACCAAGTACTAATCAAAATAGTCAAACAATTCCATAATTTGTAATATCCTGAATGATACCTGAGAGGTTTCTTGATAGGAAATACGTTTTGGAGTTTCTCCCAAGGGTACAGTTCGGATATGCAATTTCTGAATCTCATCAATTGTTCCAATTGTGAGTGAATTATCCGTTGCCAACGCCAAACTGTCCGGAAATGCCATTGCATTTAAAGGGCACATATGAGATACTTCTCGGAGATTGACATTAGAGAAGACGAGTTTGTGGTTTGACCAATAAATTACTGTTGGGCGATCTGAACAGGCAAAAACGCTTGCAGTAGACTGACTCTTGAAAAACTTTAATACGGTAGGCTGAGTTCCCAGTGTCACTTTTTTGGTATCGGAAAGAGTCCCAGAGACTGGATTTAGAGTAAAATAAAACAACGATCCATCGCCAAGAGCACACATCAAATAGCAGTTGTCGTCGAATGATGCCAAAAGAATTGATCTTGGAATTATCTCTAAAAACAGAGGGTATAGTAAAGGAATATATTTGGCATGGTACCATCATAAATGACTATAACACACCTCCTTTCATAGGTTCTTTGGTAATGACATCAAGTCTAGGTACGCTTAGAATCAAAGCAGAAACATCAGTCCATAAGCCAGCTGCAACAAAATGTGCTTTTCCAGATCCCAAAGGTGTAATGTCCAAACAAGCTACTTCGTTTTCCATGATTTTCTCCCTACATGGAGTAAAATAACTAATGTAGAAATGTAAAATTCGCTGATGTATGTATAACCATATTAATGCATACGCTTGAAGACTAAAGGATCCCTTCTCAATTTCCAAATAGTACAGTTCGGATCCAGCAGCACACACAATTTGTGAATTATTTCCAGCAACGACACTAATTCCCTTCCCAGAAGGAGTTTTCCATTCACTATAACCATTAGAATCAAACAATTAACTACCAAGTTTAATCTCAAGCTTTTATTAAATTCTTACCAAAGTAATATCTTTGATGATGAATCAACAAGACGAACTGCCTTAACTGTAACTTGCACCATTTGACTATGGCAAACATTCGAACTCCAAAGAGTTTGGCTATCCTGAATAAATCCCGGCAGCTCTGTTTCTTCAACTTCTTCTCCACACAAGTACAAAAATCTAAAGTAGTGTAGCATATTGTAATTTATAATTATTTATAAACGGTCTTGATTACTAAGCGTAATCGTAGTCACATAGACTCATGGGGTATATATGCATGAATGTAGAAAAGTACATACCTTGTATCACCAATGCCTGAGACAACCAGCATATTGTCATATATAGCCTCTCCGCCGACTTTAAGTGCCCATAAACCCTTAATGCCTGATAGGTCAAGGCTGGCGTGCTCTTGGATTCCAATTCCGTTTCGGATTATCCGAAGTGAACCTTCCTTGTAAGCCCCTTTCAAATTTAAAACAAGATACAGTTAAGCATTTTAAACTTACATATTTACAAAAATTACAAACAAAAGTCGTAGAAATTTAAATACTCAACTAACCAGAGCAAGTAATGAGTTGACCCTGCCCTTGCTTATCCATATCAACAACTACCATATCCATACTAGGGAGAAAAGTTTTACATTATTATAAAAAATTATCTATATTTATGATATTATTTAACTTGCATCGGAGCAAGGTTGGTAAAAGTTTCCATCAAAGATACGTAGCTTCCCGAGTCGTTAGCTTCAGTGTTTAGTCGAATCAACTGTGAGTCGCCCAAACGAGATCCAATGAATACCACTCCATTATCCAAGTATGTTATGCATTCTGGTGTGCTTATTACGCCTTAAAAATCATTTTCGAATGTTAAAATTAGTAAAATATGTGCGTGATTAGTCGAAATAACTAAGGCACTCACCCAATACTTCAAATTTTATGTCTTTAACAATTGTAATTCCATCAGGTCTTTCCTCTCGCTCCAAAAATAACATAAAGAGGTGGCCAATTAAATCCCCCAGGAGATACCGAGATCCAGTTGGATCCACCCTTGCGTAACACATGATTGTACTCTGTTTCATTGCTCTAAAAATTGAAGTATTGATATGAATTTAAAGCCTGACCAAAACAACAAAGCATCGCCTCAAACTAATTTTATGAGCCGTATACTTGAGCTCTGAGCTGATGTAAACTCACATAATAAATGTACACGTAATAATTAAAATAATAAGTAAATAATTAGATTAAGTAAAAAATCTCACCCAGGAGCAACAGCTAGAAAGGTTGACCCATTGTGATACAAAATTGACTCTTGGCCAATGACGATAACTCCTCCCAATGGCTGAGGAACTGGGATAACCATTGATGAATGACTCTCAACATTTTCCTGCTTCCACGGTACTTTCACAAAGTCCTTGTCCTTGAGTGATATCTCCCTGGCCTTAACATGACGGCCACTTGCGTCTTCAAAAATGAGAATAATGGTAGGGTTTGGGCACCCGTAGAGGAATTCAATATCTTGAATTTGTGGTTCTTCCAGTCTAACCGGGCAATAAGACAATTAAATAAACCCTAAATTATTTACTCTTCGTCAATGTCAAAATTTTCAAATTACCGGATATTGTAAGCTCGTAATTCCGAGTTGTCCTTTTCCAACGGGATGATTTTGAAGAGTCCTTCATATAACTTTAAACCAATCACACGAGCTTCTGGATCTGATTATACAACAAAAGACATATTACCATTTGCATTTGGCACACCCCCAAGTTTTTAAGGGGCCTTGACCTCCCCCCTCAAATCGAATGCTCTCTGCATAGTCCCTAATGCTTAGCAGCTTTAATATGCATACCAATTGTTCCAATTATTCCAGTCTCGGAAGGCTTCCCAATTCTGTCCCCAACATTTCCATGCGCTACAGTGACAATTTCTAAACTATCCCCCTCTCCCCGGCACTCAAGTATCATGGCATTGTATCTCGCCGTCACAACAAACAGCAAATCCTTATCTGCGCCCTAAACGAAGGGAATTACAAGTTACTTTGACATACATAACCATCGGATATAATCTGAAATAAATTAAAATCCTTACCACATGCCGAAAAAGTTTAAGAATTGCGATTTTTCCATAAATCGCAATTTCTTTTAAAGGACGTAACCCTTCAGGAGTCACAAGATATAATTCAAGCCTTGTATTCTTTGCTAGAATAAGATTGATATCGAGCGGTGATGTAAAATTTCCTGAAATATTCCAACAAAATGTGAAACGTTTTTACCACAAGTAATGGTGAAATGGTATGCAAATTAACAAATAGATGTGTTAACCAACCTGTCACACATGACGTTACGGCAGTAGGCTTATGAGCAGTGACAATGTAGTGATGTGCCGTCGACATGTTATCGCCGGTCGCTAATCCGACAATGCAAAAGGTGGCGGTTCGACAAGGAGTGAATTAGCTTACCACCAGAAAAGCAGCGGTCGCCAACTGAACCGACCAGTGTTCCTCTGCACGGCTCACTTCCAAATTCCTTTCAAAGGAGTTTTATATTTCGAAACGACGCCGATTAATTTCGCGAAGTCGAGTTGAAATAATAATTGTGGAAGCTCTACGCGCGTGAAATACTCCACAATGCTGAAGAGCTGCTGGCTTTGATTTCCCCTCTCGCGTCTCACCTCACGCTCCGTCTCATCCTCAGATCGAATTCATATGCAATTAAGCACCGAATTGCGCATTGGCGACATAAGAAATTGTTTATACATGCGATTCGAACGGATGATAAATAAGGCATTCTTTAAAACTCCTCCATGTCGAGGGATGAATTGAAAAAGTAAATATTTTTATGGATTGTTGTTTGATTGAACGGGTTTGGATTAGATTTTGTAGTTATTTATTGACCATTGCAAGTCTTCAAGTACGAATTGCACTCTTATGTAAATAATTTTTAGATATATTTCAAAATTATAACTTTTAGTATATTATCTGAACCATAATTTAGAACTATGATAACTACTCAGCAAAAATCATTCGTCATACGAGAAGATGATACGACGTGACTCTACAAACTTATAAACAAGTAGAAAAATATTAACACATGTTGCACATAGCAAATAAGTAGCTGAGATACATCAAGTCAGAACAAGCAAACAACGTAGTTGTAGTTATACAACAGAATCGAGATTCTGTACAGATTAAAGTATTAATTACTATGCATAGTAGATCCATGTTTATATAATACTTATTTAAGTTATTTACTCGTTGATTTAAACTTTTTCACAATGTGCGTGCATCATGTGGGCACTGATTGGTGGGAGAGGAGAGTCATTATTACTCGTTGTTGGATACAACACAAGTGCAGCTCGATAAGCAGCATCCCTTCTTGCCGATATTTTCTTGTGTCCTGCAAAAAGATAGATCCCAATTGTATTACCATAACACAACCCACCAAATTAGGGGTGCGCTCACCATAACCAATTTTTGTGTCATTCATAGATCGCACATGAACAAATGCTTTGAAACCGTGACCTTTCTTATTATCAAAGTCACAGCGAAAATAGTCAAAGGTAGGACACTCTAACATTTCAAGAAGTAGGCCAACAGGGTTAATTTCAAGTGGAACATATTTTTCTGGAACGGCCGCTTCATTCTTTGGGCCCCTCTGTGTTTTAAAGGTATACAAAATATTAGACAAGACGTCGTTAATTGTAAAGCATTCATAATTACCTTGACATGGTTGGTACAGTTTGCTAGTTTATTATATGACGGCTCATCACTTTGCATTTCACTTTCACCTTTCTCATTTGCTGCAGATGATGATAGTACTACTTTCGCAGATTCCACAGAATCTTTACCGTTCACGTGATCAGCCTGATTTTTAGTGATACTAATTGGCTCATTTAATTGAGACTGGACAATCGACTCTTGCATTGGAACAGCTGGCTTAGGCTGTTTTAAAATATGTGAGGAAGCTTGTAGTGCAGCCGCTTCTGAGTAATGACTACTCTCCTTTGGTTTTGATGGAACAATAAAAATATTTGAATGTTCTTCGTTTTCTGCACTCGTCTCTGTAAAGTAATCAATGGGGTTAATAGAGTTAATATTGCTGATGGGAAAACACTAATAATTACTTTAGTACCTCGTGCTTTTCCAATATGGACAACCTCCGTGGAACTGTGAGTCGCACCCAAATAAGCCGCACCCCCTCCAATCACGAGCACCATCGCAGCAAAGGTTCCCAACATTTTAACTCTGGTCGTATACTTTCGTACGACATGGTCCCTCTGAGGATTTCGACCAGCATAGCCTCCCACAAGCCCATACGTGCTCCTGGCAGAGGCAGAGGAGGAAATTGATAATGCCTCTGGGCATCTGATATTCACTCTTTGTTCATCCATCATAATTACTACTTAACTCAGTCTGTGACACTTGAAAGAGGAACGAAGAAAAAACTAAAACACACTTCAGAATTCAGAAAATGTTCCACTATTATATACTGATGCTTACTTTTAAGGATCAGTTGCGAAAAATTCTAGTATCAAAAGGAAATTAATACTAGTCTTCTCTTCACATTATTATCCACATCAACCCAAATATAATTAAATTTAGGGTTTATTTAATTTCCTATAATTCACTTGTCAAATACCAAATTATTATTTGAACAAATAATAACAAAACACATTCTTTGTTCTTTCTTTTTATTTTTTACACTATGCTATAAAAAAATGCAATTTATTTACCAACAAAGAAGGCAGATTGAATCTGTCCGCCCGCATTCTCTATGCTCCCTCTCAACTCACCGCTAGTTTGAGATGAGACTGCTTTCACTTTTCGCAAACCGGTCATTGAGGAGTCATTTTGGCAATTATGTAATGTTTTAGCAAAGTACTAAATTGTGTTTCATGCAAGTATGCAAATGGTGAATATCAACACTTGGCATCTCGAGTGTAGGGAAATAATCATGCTTGATATCGAATAATCTGAATAATCATAAGTCGTTTTTACAGTTTTTAGCCCGAACCAGGGCTTATGTAATCGTCATGTCCGTCCGTCCGTCTGTCCGTCCGTCCGTCTGTCTTTCGATAACTCTCGAACGAGTTGACCGATTTGGACCAAATTTGGTACATACATGTATCTGGGCAATGCAACGACCGAGTTCGAAGATGGGTTCAATCAGAAAAGTTTTGGACCGGTGGGGGTCATCGGAGTGGGTGGGGTATTATGCACCAAAATTTCAAAATTGTCGTAGAAAGCTGAAATTTGGTGGAGAGGTTGCTTATGGGTCCTGATGGAAGAATATGACATGAAATTGGTAAAATTTTTATCTAGAGCGACCCTATGGGGTGACCCATACCGATTTTTAGAAATTAACATAGAAAGCTGAAATTTGGACCAGAGATCCTTACTGCTTTCTCATGAAATAATACGAAGTTAAATATGAACACAAATTAACCATATGGGCTGTAGAGGCGACCCCCACTGGGAAGTAGTCAAGGGCAATGGATAGTAAATATTTTTAGAATTTGGAGCCTAGTAGTACGAAAGATTGATGCAAGTTAATGCAAAAATTAGTGTAAAATAGTGGCACATAATTTTATAGAAAACTACTGAGAAACATGGGTTTACTAAACCTGGTTCGGGCTAAGCAAAGCTGTACTGATAGGTTTTTAAATTATTTATTTTCATACTTTATTAATAAATTCATTCTTTGGTTGAAAACAATAATTCAAGCTGGTTTGCTGTGTCGCGAGTGACTCATTTGTAACTATAAAATTAATTAATTAATACAACTCCAAATTATATTCTGCAACAATTTGCTCTAAAAGTTGAGTGCAACTTATGTAACTACTCCCCATTTATCTCTATATAAATACGGTCGGTACTGTCGGTAGACGGGGTTTGAGACTAGAGGTTCAAAAATCAGTAACATATTCATAACAATTAAAAATAATTAATAATGGTGATTAACTTAGTTAATAATTTGTATAGACGGAGAAAGTGCAGAGAGAGAAAAAGTCTCACAATACAAGAGCTTTAAACAAATATTATGTATAGTCTGATGTAAGTGGTTGTGGTGGAGGTGATGATGAGAGACGGCATAATTAATAATTAATATGCAAAGATTTAACAATGGATTAATGGACATCATAAAATATTTTCGGTACAAGTTTCTCATAATAATCTACTTCTTCTCTATTATCGGTATTTATAACACAAATTGCTTAAAATACTAAAATGTATACGGTACTCTCTGACATCCCGACTGACTTTTATCAATGACTTATAAATTGCCTTAAATGTTGGTTTGGGGTTTTTAGTTATTGAATTAATCAGTAGTAGGTTGATATCTTACACTTTTAATAAAATTTTATAAAGCTCGTGTTTAAGTAGAAGTTGGTATAATCATAATTATTATGTATGTAATGGTAATTAACGTTGTTTCTTTTGTATGCGTTTTACAATTCGTAAGAGGAGTAGAGGAGACACAAATTTAGCAAATCTCGCCGACGACGACGCAATAAAGTTCTTCTTACATACCGACCACATCAGTGTTTCTTTAGTTCTTTTAGACATACAAATTTTTAAGAAAGCCTAATTCCTGTTTTACTGTTTTGGGGTCTGTTTAGAACCTTAAAATCTCGCAAAAGTTAAAAAATTTGGCTATACTTCAATTATTCATCAGTCCCTCTTCATACCTGTGTGTAGCATTATTATTGGGCATGAAAGCGAAAGAAATAATCCTTGTGTATGTATAAATGAACATTGACGGTCAAAAATTTGTGGTGACACACACGAAGGGGTTATTTGTTTAACTACTTGTAACAGGTTATTACACAGTACATATGCATAATAGTACCTCCTCATGTCTCTCTTTCTAGTATCATTCCATTAAATTAGCCCTAGTTGGTAATTTACTTTGTAACCTGCAAGACAATGTGATTACATAATTGGTTTGTAGGTAGTATAATATAATTTAGTAACAGCGATAATTAGTCGAAATTGATTAATTGCTATGTCCATCTGAAGATTGCCCATGCGATGAGGAGATTCGTGTAGAAAAATGTCCCCACCGTCATCATCATTTTGCTACCCGCTGCTGCAATATAAAAATATGTCATTAAATACCTTGTACCAAAAAATGGAACCGATTCGGTTTGTTATTTAGAAGTAAGAGTTTGGAGAGTCGGATGCATGCATGAAAAAGTTTTTGGTAGAAATTGAGCCCAGATATGCCAATAAAATATTGCGCTTATTGTGCCAATTGCATGGTCATGGTAGGATATGTAGGAGTGTTCCATTCTCGTAATCAAGATGTAGGAGTAAAAGTAAGTCGATGGGATTATTTTGCGGAATTGTGGTGGTGCAAGGAAATGCAAAACTTTTTTGAGGTTGGTTAGTGAAAAACTATTTGTAGTATTATTGGTAAGAATTCCATTAGAGGACAAGTGGGGTCAATTTGTTCTTATTGGTATTACCACCAACTACGGTGGGACATGGTGTGGTGCAGCGTGGGTTTATTCTGCTCATAAAATTTATGAGGCCGAAGGGGATTTCCTTTAATTGCTTGTAATTGTGGTATGTTTACTGCCCCTCTCGCTGTTATCGTCCACCGAATATGTATGTTTGTGTGTATGTATGTACGCATATTCAACGACATAAAAGTCAGTCCCAGTCTATCTTCCCAATGAAATTGATTACGAGATGTTTCAAGGTTCGCAAGAATTTTTGTACAGATACGAAATTGGAATGCCATAATAATAATGAGGCAACTTGAGACTCTGTAAATACTTACGAAAGATCAAACCAACAAAACCAACAAACCCAACCCAACAACTAACTAATGTCTATAGATGGGCAACTATTTCTGTGACTTTTAGGAAATTACAAAAAAGTTGGTTGTGGTATGTATACGAAAATGAGAAGAATTTCAAATTCTCTGCAAAGAAAGTATCGAGTTTTGTGTGTACTCGTTGGAAATTGGACAAAGTCTGTTTCATTTCATTGTAACTGTCATCCATGCATCTCTTCTCCTTGATTAAAAAAACTTTGCATCTTATATAAGGCCCAAAATATTACTTACCACTTGTTTCCGTCTCCTTGATCGGTCCTACAACGAATACAAGAAAAGCGTGTATATTTTTTAGCTTCACCTCAAAGAAAAAAAATGCTTTGGAGTTTTTGTTTGCGACATGTGCAAAGTGAAAGCAAATACATAAGCAAATTCGGTCCCTTCAATGCAAAATTACAAATAATGCGACGGATATAGATTGAACCATTCATGTATGTGCATAGTACGTACACAGTAGAGGAAGGGGAACAAGAGACGTACAATATAATTCATCAACATACTTTCACGAGAGTTTCAGTCTAGTTTTACACTACACAAGAATCACATGACACGACGACGCCCCCATTTTGTGTACCGGATTCCATTGGCACCAGATGATAAATATCATTGGAGTTGACGCGACACAATTTTTCTATGCAATTTTCATGTGCAATTTGTTACTCTTTCTAAGCCAAGTCGGCAGTGTCGGCATTTGTATGAGGGCATACATACGACTTACGAGAGGAGGAATGCACGACATGAATTTTAAGCTAAATTCTGAGATAGATATAAATAAGTATGTGTGACAACTTTTGTCGGTTGTTATTATTGTGCCTCTGATGATGGGAGAGAGAAGGCGAGGCAGGGAAGAGGTCGGCCGGTCGGTCGTCGACGGTCTAAGCCTGGGGGACAAGAGCCATCAACAGAACGACAGCAAACAAGGGCGGAGGAGGAAGTGGGATTTACAAGGCTGCAATAAAAGGAACTCTTGGTTTATTTACAACATCTACAAATTCACAATCTACATCAATCCACTCTTGATTTGATTGTGTTGTACGGCGACACAAGAATGCTCACAGCTTTCCTTTTGCTTTTAGCCCTTGCTTTCACCTTTCATTCAGAGAAAGGATCAGCCCGGACGAGTCACATACATAGCTTCGAGTTATAAATAAATAAATATTTAAATAAATAAATATAAATATTTACATAAATATTAACGGAATTATAAGGAATTCGATTTTTAGGGAAGAACAAACAACTTTGTTGGTGTGGGTGTGCACTTTCCCTGCCACCACAAGAAAAAACATTGCTTTTGAATAAGTGGCTAATGTCAGAGAGTAAAAGTCTTAAAAGCAACAAAGTGAATTAATGGACTACCTTCCTCACGAAAAAGATTTAATATGTATGACGGAAATGGGATTTAGTTTTATCGCAAAACATCATTAATTTTCTCCTGTTCATTTTCAGACACAAATTGCAATTTCCTGTGTGTGTGTGTGTAAATCCACGTAAGAAGCACTAGCTACGCATATAAATAATGCACATATCTAGATACACATATAAAATCAGCTCCCAACACGATTTCCGATTAAGATTTATTTAAGGAGCTCCAAAATAAGACGTCTCATGAAGGAAGGCTCACAGTGAATCTGTTAAATCTCGACATTGCACTAAATAATTTGAAATTTGGAAAAAGTATGTGCAGATAACGGGAAGCCGGGTGAAGGAAGCTCAGGTGGTTCGTTTTTGGTACTTTGAGCATGAATGCTCTTCCATCTCATCTTTTTATTCCATCCCATAACTTTGGTCCGGTTGCCACTTATAAATAAGTAAATACGGGAGAGAGAGAGAGAGTCAAAAGTCTCAGAATAGGAAAACTTTGCTTTTGTCAGGATGGAGTTTGATGGAGTTTGATGGAGGTGGTAATCGCAATATTGCCGTTGCATTTTGTACCAACCAGTAGAAGCAGCAAAGGCACAAACATTAGTACGAGCACTCCTCCTCCTAGAACATACATAAGTAGTGTTATAGTTCAACTTACAACATCTCACTCAACTCTATCCACCCGCCCCACCCGTATAATGCACAGAATAATATGGACGATAGGACGGCGACGTATATATGGAGCGGATGAAATGGTGAAAGTTGATGGTGATGGTGATGTCGGATGGAAAGTGGAGAGTGCAATTGGGATTTCCTATCCAACATCGCATTATTTCTTACTGTGACTTATCAATTGAATTACATTACACAAGAAAAGTTGCTTCCAGTTTGCTTTATTTCTCGGCACACAACGTTATGGTTCACATTATTTTCGCTCGAGCCTCCGTAGTCATACTGTATGCGCGTATTCGTATGTATACATGATCTGAGTGGCTGGTGGTCTTCGCAGACAGAGTGACACGACTCACATAATAACAAAAGTAAAGTACTTGATTCAACAATGATGATGGGGAAAAAGATCTGCTGAGAATCGGTCCGGTAGGTGAAAAGTGAGATTCGGAGGCGTACGTAATTGCAGCGTAGTGCACTCTCTTATATGGCTTTCACTTTTCAACTCTTTCCCTCGTTGAGACAAGGTTACAAAGACAAAAGAATGACAAGTTGTTTGGTAAATTTTTTAGTGGTACTCCTTCAATCTCAGCTGGAAATCACGTCAGAAAAAGTAACTCGGCATTATATTTAGATATGCCCTTGACACCGTTTTTCTTGTCGTTTTTAATTATCTTCAGTGCGTATAATCTCATGATAAGATGACATTTTAAAATTATTTTTCAGATTTGGTATTGAAGTGAAAGCCCGAGTGAAAGTTTCCGTCTATCTGTCCATGCGTCCGTTGTTGTCCGTACCTGGTCTCATGTAACACTTTTCTGACCAACTTGAAACTTGGCACACATATAATATGCAAACTACATATATGTGTTCATGAATGCATAATTCGGGCAAAGGCCAGTCTCAGTAGGAAATAGTAAGTGAAAGTCGATTGTGAAAAGGTATCATACCACTGACTCGGGCTAAATAGAGCTGCATACATTTAGGTTTCGAGATTTAGGGACGAATTTTTTACCCGATATGCTCTTTAGGATTAGGATAAATACATACACAGTCGTCTAATGGCGTCCCTCAAAAATGCATTTTACAGATTTGGAAAGCTCGACAACAAGGAAATGCACTAAAGAAATTTTTCCACCGATCTAGAGCTCACACTCGTGTGGAGAGATTATTATATACTTATGTACGTATATCAATCCTCCTCATCTCGTGTGTTGATATGTCGATCTGCGAACTGTTCGTCCCGTTTACATTTGGATTTCTCACTCCGAATAGATAATCATCGTCATCATCCACGTCCTAGCAGCGCACACAATTCAGACATGAGTTGTTCACTATCTGCTAAATCTACAAAAGTATAACTGACGTCCGTACTGTTCTGTGTGTTGCATAGTTTAGTGTAGTTTGCTATGCAATGAATGCACACAAAGTAGGATTGGTATTTTGCTCTCTGATCTTTGCGAGGAGTCGTGGTGATAGTCGAGGAGAAGGTGTAGGCAGGTTTGAAGGAGTAGATTTTGAAGAGAGATCTCATAAAATATTTGTCTGTCTTATTTTTGGGCGAATGATCTATTTTGCGTTTCGAATCTTATTCCAAAGCTCATTTCTCTTCTCGAGTTGAACGAAGCTCGAAGGACTTGAACTGCTCCTTTCTTCTTCTTCTTCGCCCGTCTCCTATGGCTGATCTTCCTCACCCATTCTTTTTATTCTCTGCATGCCTTTTGAAATATTCAGAATTACAAAGCTCTCCTTCCCCATGCCTACGCAGGAGTCGCATAGGAGCACTTCTGCTGAGCTGAGCAGTATATGCATACACACATATGTACATACGTACCATGTGGAGGTATTTCTTGGCTAGGTACACATACATACATTGCACATCTTATTTTATGTTGAGTAACGCGTATGCCGAATGTAATGTGTGTGAAAAGGGGGAGATTGGAAAATGTTTTATCTGTTTTGGAATCATGAATTGGAATCAGCAAAATTTGTAGATTTGTGGCAAAACCCCAGCAAGATTTGTAGTTTAGATGTCACACAGCTTAAGGAGTAAGACGCCCAAGTATAGTCCCTTCCTCGTCATCAATGGCAAAGGATTCACCTAGAAATACTTTTACCATACATTTTTCTTTGTGAAGGAGATAATATTGAAAAATGTATTTCCTCCGCCAAGGACAATTTACCTCGTTTGGAAGAGATGACGAAGGTGACTTTCTGATGTTAATTTCATCCTCTTTCTCTCTGTTCTCTTTCACGTCGTCCTTTCAACAAAGTCGACCGGGATTCAGGATCTTCCACGAGGACACGAGGCATTGTGTGTGTGCAAAGAGAGCAGAATAGCATAGGTTGGCAAATGAACTTCTTTCTCTCTTTCACTGCATTATCATGTTTTTATTAAATGATCTCCAATATTTTTTGAAAGAGACTAATGGTCGATGGTCACTGGGATCAGAGTAGGAGGATGAGAAGGATGAGGAGCAGAACTCTCTTCTCGATAAGTAAAAGACTCCATCAGACCATAAAATTCATATGCTTTTTGATCACTCATCCCTGAACTACTGCCGAAGTAGCAGCCAAGCAACCACTTACTCCAATCTACTCCAACGAAGCTATATACATACATCGGCTAGGCAGGCAGATGGCAATCCAGCTAAAAACTTTTCTCCTTGACTCTTTTCTTGGAAAGCTATGCAACCAAAAAGAACAAGAAGAGTGGGAAGGAAGGAAATCGGAATGCACGGAGAGAAATTCCTCGGATATCTTCTTCTTCAATATGAACAGGCGAGTACGAGCGTACGTACGTACGTATGTAGGAACGGGTGGTTTTTGGTTTTGTCCAGCGAGCACACCACCATTCCAGAAATTACTGAGGGGAAGATTCCTTCAAATGATTTGTTATTTAAGAAGTATCTCGCAATTTCATGGAACACCCTCATCATCCGCCAAACAACTTTTATCCGTCTTCGGCCGCTACTAGTTTAGCCGAGAAAGTTAAGTTAGAGACAGACTATTATTGTGGTGGTCGCGAGTCTATCTCTCAAGTCATGACATATACATACGTGTGAGAGATATATATATTTATATCCAGGTTGGCTGGTTGGTTGATTAATATTACATGTAGTAAAAGCCTGGTCCAGTCGTCTCTATCTCGCTCTGTCTCTTTGGTCAGAAGTCTTCTTCGTCTGACTCTCTACACAACCTTCAAGGAGATAAATGGTTTGGTAAGTTTGACTTTATCCTCTTCTTCTTGGTCTCAAAAAATTCATATATATTAGATCGGTCAGTTCTCTCCCTGTTACAGCGTCTACTATTCCTCTCTGCCTCATCCACATACGTACATACGTACGTACAGACACCCACAGACGGACGTCATATCCTTTTGAATGAATGAAGTAGAAGGAAAATGGGGAGAAGATGTGATATGAAGGAACACTTTGACTTGACTTGACTCGCCTTTTGATGGTCTGCTGATCTGCTTCAGCTCAACTCAACAAATAACATTGTCAGAAGAGGAGAGCGAGAGTAAAAGCCGGACTTCCATCCATTTTCTCATCAACCAACCCTCCTCTCATCTCAACTCAATTGACATCAACTTCTTTAAAAAGAAAATATCCCATCATGTATCATACATGCGTATATGGCTTGGGATGAATTATTGTGGGGCGATAACAGCGAGCTTTCACCCGCTTTCACTCCTCATCAGTTATGATTATTACGCGTGGAAAGTCATGTCAGGAGTAAAGTGACACTGCTGCTGCTGCTGCCTGCCTGCATGTACGACGAGTCCTATGAATTCTATTGTATCACAAAAGGACGAAACAGGACAAAATGCAGTCACTTGGCTGACTGAATCGAATCTAATCGAAGTTGTTCTTCTTTCTCCGTGCCCCAACCATTTAAATCATTAACGAGATGCAGGTCGGTTGTTGTTGGGGGCGAGGAGGAGTGTGCTTTGCGTGCGGGGGTGAATGCGAATAAGTGCATTTCAAATGTCAACAGCAGCCCAGCTCTCTCGTCCAGTAATTATACTCATGCACCGTTCCAACAAAACTACTACAAAGCTTTTGGGACACGATTTAATTGAAAATATTCAATTCTGAGTTTTGATTTGGAAACGTTTCGTAAAAGCCAACTTTAATCCCATTCATTTTACTCCACATCTAAAGGGAAAACATTTTATTAAATTCTTGCGTATCTCTCGTACAATGGGAGTACAACAAAGACTTTTCCTTTGGATAGATGCTTTTGTTCGTGGTACAATCAATTTATAATAAGACTTCTCTCTGTGTGCATCATGTTCCAAGTACATACAGGCGAACGAGAGAAAAGAGGCAGAGAGCAGATCGGGCAAAAAGTGTATGTATGTTGTAATATTCTGAAGCCTGCGGTATTTCTTTTATAGGATTTGCAACCTGTATTAATTTCAGAGTGGAACGAGCAAACGAGAATAAAGAAATACATCATCTCATTATGCTCCGTTAGTAACGGATCTTTTGGCCATTAGGACACACTTTTACAGATGTATCGCGTATCATAAATGACAAGATTGCATTATTTTATGTAGTCCACCCATTGTGAAATGGAGGAGATTTAGGTAGACACACAACCCGCTAATGTTGTAATAATGTGTGTACGACACAAACACTCAGCAGCACAGGTAAATTCATAAACAACAATAAAATAAACGATTTCATTTCCTATTGCACATTGTCAGCGGGCAGTACGAGCAGTTCGTAGCTTATATCCGTGGAAGTGAAGGACTGCTTAATTCGTATTATGACAAGTTCCTCTTAATCACTTTTGGTTCGAGTTGCTGGGAACCATCGATCATTTGTGTCAACGAACAGTCCTCATTTTCCCAAACACCCGCAGCCCTTATTATTTCCTCAATAACAAAACATAATACTGCTTTCTTTTTCCTCCAGCTCAACTTTCTCTCCAGAAGGAAAGGTTTCCCTCGTTGTATCTCTATTTCTCTCTTTTTCTCTCTCGGCTCAATTTGGATTTTAAGAAAAAAGTGGGCCGGGATGAAATATAGGGGAGAGTAAAAGCATCACATTTCATTTTCATGTCTTTGGTTCGAATTACATCAGAAGAAGAAGGAGCAAGGAGCACTAGAAGATTCCATTATCTTTTGTTGTTGGGTTGCTTTGGGTCTCTTTCCTATTTAAATTTATGCATTTGGCACAATAGATAACAGCAATCAAAATCAAATTACACTTTTTCATTATTTTATTATGTTTCTGAGGGCAATGGCTGCAAAATAACTGAAAATTCAGAGATAAACACAACAACAAAGCCAGAGTGCACCATGTACATGCATAACCGACATGATTCATTACATGGACAGTGAACGTGCTGTTGTCTTAATGCTGCTTTGTAATGCAATAAGTGGTTTTGCTTTTCACATGTATTGGTGTCCCATTTAAAAGATTTTGTCTACGAGCCTGGAAGAAATTATGATAAATTGAGCAGAGAAAATGGCGTGGGAAAGTGGGAAATACTTCCCTCCTCAAAACTGTAAACTTTTGATTTTGATTTGAAAAGTTTTCCTTTTTTGTTTAAGTTTACAACAAAATTACTCCTTCTTCCCCACTTTTTATAATCAAGTCTAGCTCTTAGGTGGGGAAGAGCGGAGAGGAGGATTTAATTTCAAACAGGAAAAATAAATGAGTGTAGATCGTTTCTTAAATGTCATTCGTGGTGAATGATGATGTAGTTTTCTGCATAGTTTTCACCCGTATTACAATTACAGCGTTGTAATATTTACTTAGTAATAGGCAACCATGCCAGGTCACTCGTTCATAATAAGAGTGAGAAGAACATTAAGATTTTTCCGTTACAAGTGGAAAATTCCACCATTTATTCGATTCGCTTAACTCGTTTGGGATAAAACTAAATAGATATTTTGTGAGATCTGTGTACTAAATAGGTCCATGCATACAGATAACATCGTTTGCGCAGGTTTCTGTTTAAGCCTACACGAGGGGTTATTTTTGCAATACGTACTTTCTCCGACTTAATATTTATATTCTCAATATATCTTTCTTGTCCCTACCTCCTGCTAATTAGTGCTCTGAGACTAGATACATAAATCTTGCAATGTTTGGAAATGTCATCACGTATCTTTTTATCCTTCTCATTATTCACCCTGCGCCGTAGCATGTGCACATGGACGCTGTGCAACAAAGGTGAACTACGTGAGCAATATAAAGTTCTAAAGTACATATACTGATCCTGAATGTCTAAAGTATAATTCATTTCTTCACTTAAGTGCTACTTCTTAACACTTAAATATTTAGTATTATTACGCATATAGCCCCGTGCAGCAGCATGAGTGGAAGGCAGTCGAGTTTATTTATTTCCTCGGCTAAATACACATACGAACCAAATGCTTTCAATTAGCTTGACATCGGGTTTAAAAGGACCCGACTTTTGAGTTTATATATGCACGCTCTCAAATAGACGGCACCCTTTCCTCCTGATCTCGACTCATTTCATCAAGTTTTAGAGAATGGCTATACTTATGGAGCTATTGGAGCACTGGTAATGCACGTATAATGCAATAATAGAGTGTGCGTATATAAGTTCGTATACAGTTTCCCCCTCCTTTCTCATTCCATTCCACATGAGTAAAGAATTGCCTTATTTTGAGCAAAGTTCAGCTTGATTTGTTTTCCCTTCCTTTAATTACTCGATGCAGCCCAGCACAAGTGGAATTTACGGTTTGGTCGTTACTTCATTTTTGAGATAAACGATAACACCACATACATTTATTAGGTTTGATGACGGGCAGGAATTTAAATGGGATTGTCGCTCTTGTGGTTATTTCTTAATGTCGTGCGAGAATTTTTAAAGTGCTACGAGTTATGCTAACTATTGTTTGTGTTGCCATTTCTTCATCGAGAATTTTGCGATAACGAGAAGGAGAGAAACCAGAGAGTTCCAAACAGTACCAAACAAAGCAACGATACGGTTCTCCGTTTCAATTTCACAATTTCCTTGATGGCTTGGGCGTTTGTGTCGAAATTGTCGTATAAAGCGAGACGCCCATTATGGTTTACAGGTCATTTTGCCATTAGAGACGAGAAGTGAGTTCATTCCAACTTTCGCCCAAACTATAGGTATGCATGGTCAGTATTGTGTCCTGGTTGGACTTTTGTCTATTCAATTTTATATATTTTTTAACTATCTGCACACATGTTGTTTCCCTCAGTCATAAGTAAGATGAACCCTTGACAAGCCCAGTTGTTGGCGAAATGAGAAGGCAAAGTGATAAAGACATTAACAATGACATAATTGAGAAAGTAATTAGCAATAAATAGCTACATTTCTCCAGTGCTTATTATTTATGCTTGTTGCTTATCTTAACGGTATCATGCCTCATACGATATTTGATTTGTTAATGGATTTTTTATCGCCAATAACTTGAAATATTTTATCATCGTAGTCATTCCAATCGTTGATTTTTTCTTGTCAGCAAATTTTTTGTTTGTTTTCTGCCAGTGGAAATCGTATTTAGGTGGAAATGGGGTACGCACCCGCATTATTCATAACATTTAAACAAACAAGCACACATTCACGACTTGCCAAATATCAGCAACAAACAGCTTTGAGTCGTACCAGAATACATATTTTTACTTCGTGTGGTGATACATATATAGATAGCAGCAGCAGTAAAGCAAAGTTAACAAGCCATTAAGATCCATAAATGTTTAACTTGACTCACCTGCGTACAAAAGGTTCTTGCGATGGATGTAGCTAGTATTAGGTATCTAAAAAGACCATAAAAATTCTTTGATAATTGAAATGTTTTTGACACGCAAGCATCAGGGGAAAGGTGAGCTTTTATAAGCTTTTCATTTCATTCCATCAGAACGAGTTGAGATAAACAAGAGTCGTTTCTGGTCATAGGTACGTATGTACAGCTAACGTTGCATATATGTCAGGCCCCCTTATTACACTTATTGCACATTATACATATTGGCCATGGTGAGTATAATATAGTGTGGATGGCCGTGTGGAGTAGGTGGACGACTGAAGAATGAAGAGAAAGTCGTCGAGTGGGGCACGGAAAGTGAGGTTGAAATTGGATTGGAATTGTTGAATAGTTCAGGTGTTCGATAGTTTACTTTGGGTTTGCTACTGCCAGTGGCTGAGGATATAAATGTATATGCTCCGAGTCCAAGGAATGTACTTTCTTTTGGGATTAATGGAAAGATATTGGGGCAGAAGGGACACAATTTTCTCCAATTCCAACTCCTCGCGAGCCTCGATCCTCATCGGGTAGCATATGGGAAAGGAAAGTTTGGGACACAATATTAAAACATTATTTCATCGGTTTGTTTAGTGGCCTGGAAAAGTTGGATGGCGACCAATTTTATTTTTACTTCTCATTGAAATGAAATACTCAAAAAGTTTCTCTGCTTTAAAAAAATGATTGCGTCATGGGAAGGAATATTTATTTGTTCAGGAGTCGCCATTTTCTTGCTTACCTTGAGCTCACAGTCAAAAATAACTGGCAAAGGGGCTGAAAGGTCACTATCTGAAAAAATCCATAAAAATGATTGCTCAGCATAGTTTATGTAACTTTTAATTTCGGAGTCCCGATAATTCTGCGTATTCTAGTTAAGTGGGTAATTATTTGTTTGCTTACCTTTAATTTCTGTATGAACTGCAACATTATAGGCACCTTCAATCAACAAAAGTACAAAATTACACACAATTGCAAAATACCAAATTATTATATTTATAGCGAATGTACCTTCACTCCACAAGGAGTCCGTTCTCACATCTGGTAGTCTGGAAAGAAGGGATCAAAATCATTCAGTGATAGTGATTTCTAGTCAGGTTACGTATTTGCAGTATTTACTGTAAGTTGGTAAAGTTAGTTTTGCCCAAAGTACGCAATAACCACCCACCCACCCACCACCAAAATACTGCAATGCAATGTATATATTATCCATGTACGTATGTATATATTACAGATACGTCTGCGAGTTATACATAGTTTGCATATCTAAATATATATTGCAGCGTAATATAATTAAAGCAAGATCACACAAGTCAGACTCGCAGCTAAATCCCAAAGTGACAAAAGTTTTGCGAAACAAGGCAACTTTATCATCCTACAGGTCGAAAATGCAAACAAAAAGCTTTCATAGAACTTTGCCTCGTGCTTTCACCAGCCAAGACCAAAGGATGATTATAATTATGGTGATAATGGTAAGCTAAATGTAAAAGGGTTAACCAGAACTGGTCGGACGAAAGCAAAGAAAACAGTAGAGATCATCAAACTCATAAAGGAGTGGGATCGAGGTTACTACATAATATCTTCTGGCTGTGGTGGCTATTTAGGCAGCCAGACCACCACATTTAACAGGTAGCTTTTACTTTGCATCAGCAGCGCCTGCACGATGAAGAGATGGAACAAAGAAGAAACTAAACCACAAGATTTTAATTAGCACGGCATCCATTATCCATCCACGGGAACTGGGAAATCATCAAAGGCTTCCTTTAATCTTTTGTTCACAGTTCACACTTGCTCCTTCCAAACAAACTTTCTACTCTCGGGAACGAATATAGACTACCAAAATCCACCTCAACCGGCTACCCTCCACACCACCAGGTAATCTGAACATTTCCACCACTTCCATTCTTCCCAAAGGCGCCTATTCGTCATTGTTTATTGAGTGTTCAAGTAAAAGTAAAATAAGGTTAAATTCTAGTCTCCTTATTGCAGAGAAATGGTGGTTGGTATGGTCTATGTATTCAATCGGTGGCAAGCTTTGTATGCATTCCTTATGGCGAGCTTGCCACCCTTTAAATTCACAGACCATAGTGCCTTCGATAATTCGATGCGTAGATACATGTAAAAGGGTACTTTTTGATTCACACTACATACGTCTAATCTCTATTCACAAAGGGCATTGTTAGATAAACTAATTGATGGTCGAATTAATTTATTGGGCACATCAAACACACATAAATATGAAATGACACGAACATTAAAGGAAGAAAAAGACCATTCATGTATTGCAATTTCAGTCTTTTTAATATTAGCATATGCAATATTAATGTTATGTAACAACGCCCTTGGTGGCCTCTTCAAAGTCATGTTGCAAGGGTTTTCTTGGAGCTTCGCTGGCAATATATTTATCATCCAAAAACGTCTAAATCAGAATAATTTAAATAACGATATTGACAGCGTAATTTTCTCTCGGGTAATAATAACAGCTGCGCCGAATATTTTATGAGATTCCATCGTTCGGTATGTGGTGGTGTTGGCGAAAATGAAAACAACTCAATCACAATCAACTCAACTTGGCAATATCAATTTCCTGGATACGTTTCAGAATTCCGACCAGAATCATGCCAAAATGTCACAAACTTTTCCTTCGTGTAATTAAATTTCTTCCATTTTCATGAAAGTATTTCATTTTCATAGTTTGGTGTCATTCTAACAAGTTTTAATTTTCAGCATGCTATTTGTGCGGCAGACCTGAGACAAGATATGGAAAGTCATATGACATGACATCCAGCAGTACTCAGCATTGCAGTGCTTCTATAAAATTATGTCATGTGGATGATGAACGAATAATTGCATTTCGTTTTATTTTGTAGTGCCAGGCATTCCAGTGAATGACAGAATAACTGCCTCTGATAACAGATAAGCTGTCTTTCTTTTGCATAATAACCTTTCAACACCACACAACCTTCATTACTCATTTCTATTTCTGGTTTGGCAATAATGCAGCCTATCGGTATGAGAGACATTAGCTTTTCTCGAGCTAGAAAATATTTAAGCAAAGGAAAACTGCACCGAGTAAATATACTCTTCTTGCTCATTTCATGCATGAAATTATTCAACTAAATCACATGCATATAAAGATGTAAATATAGCTGCAAAACATAAAGTGAGACTCATATCTTAAGAGGATGAGAGTGAAGATGGTGCCAAAAACTGAGCCAAAATATTTATGTGCACTGCAAAAGCCAACAACAAACCACCAGATGAAGAAAAAATAATAATTGCAGCAGCGACCAGTCAAAGAACTGAAGACAACAATAATGGAGATACTTATCCCAGTGCCAGTGTCAGAATAATGGAGGCAATAGCGAGGAAGAAGAGCAACAAAGTTTAACGATAAATGGAAACCACTTACTCGTAATTCCCGTACGTTATTGTCAATTTTGGTTCAGGATACGCTCCAGTCGCTATTAAGGAAATAATTAAATGTTCACTTTAGGCCAATTTTAGCACATTTAGTTGTTTAAAGATTTTCTGTAATTGCTTAAATGTCCTCAAACCATCCATCCCACTCGAGTCGCTCCTACAAGTTAACTTTTAAGCCAAGTGAAACCAATAATAAAGCATTGTTTTTTCTTTAGAGTTACGCATTTAATAGTGGTTCCACTATAACTACTGCTCTTGGACTCTGATGTATTATGCGGCACGAAATTTACGTGCACAGCATTCATCTGGACAGACTGAGTGGGAGGTCGTAGGGACATTTATTATAATTTTCAGAGTAGTCTACATGCATGTAGATATACGGTTTAGTAGGGTATATGTAATAGTCGATGGAAGAAGAGAGCTGAAAATTGACTCACCCCAACATGAAATATTTATAGAATCTGCTGTGGGTCGAGAGACGAGAGCGATATCGTGAACTTTCTGTGGAGCTGCAAATGAAATTATCAAAATTCACTCATTGCCGTCTATTGTTCCTTCTAATAAAAGAAAATAATGGTGAGGAGACAAAAGAACAGAACCAACACGGTGTCCGTCCCTCTATTACTTTTTCATTTGCTACTCATTCTGCTAAATAATTGATTTGGAGATTCTGTCAGAGGTGAAAGTTTCAATGTACATACGTATAATCCGCACAATGCTACCACTGCTGCATACGAAGGTCTAGTGGTGATGGTGACCAGTAGTTTTCCTTCTTTTGGGTTGGCTGGATTCTAATGTGAGACACTAATCCGACCAACAGCCCAAGTAAATGGCTTTGTGTGGTAGCGACTCCACAACCTCATCTCATATTCTTTCTCTGTTCCATTGAATTGAAATTGAGCTGAACACAATATCCAACAATTTGGAGAAAAAGCAGAAGCATCAGAGCAGCGACAATTGCCCAAAGGAGTTCAATGGAGTTTGGTGGGACATGTTTGCTCAACTTTTAAATGCACCCAATGTATCCGTCCATGTGCTTAAACACATCTCGATCTCACTTTCCTTCTACACACGTAAGCCGACTACTTTCTCCTCTGGATACATATACACGTACCTTATACACTTACCTGACTGAGCGGGTGGGAGTTGAGGACGTCAGCCGTTTTGTTCGTTCGTGAGGATATGTACATACACAGTATAAGCGCATTAATGTGAATAGATAAGGAATAATAAATGCACAAAGATAAGTGTAAAAGGTCTCCTGAAGTTATTTAAACGGAGAGGGATCTTTTTATTAGAGCACAGTGCCCATTTGGACCATTAGAAGGCAAATAACTAAAGAGAAAAATTGTCACATTCCAAATTTTTCTAAGGATATTGGACCCTTGGTGATCATAAGGGGGAGATAATAACACGGCCTTTCTACCCAATAAACCACTTTCACCACTCAAGACGGACCAGGTATCTTCTCATCTACCCCGCCGTCTGCCTCCCACCACCGAAATTCTCCTTCGCCTCCCTCTCCTCCAGCTCTAATAAAAGTAACGAGAATGAGAACATGAAGGCTGCTGATACATCCATTCATGATACAACACAGGCGGCATGTCAGAGCACGGAAAATGTCGTCCTTGCTTTCTCAGCAGCAGCAGCTAAACTCTCCCCACGTATCCATATTCATTACTGCCCTCACTCCTTTTCATGTCCAGTTTAGATTTTACTTTACAAGCTTCTTCTCCACATACTAAATAAAAAGAAATTGATCTTTTGCCCTTCTTTCCCCACTTTCTCCTCCAACGTGTGCTCATACATGCACACTCACGCGCGTATGTATATTAATGCCACACGTTTCCTGAAAGAAGGAAGGAAGTGGAAGTGGGTGCCAAAAGTGGCACCTGTGACCTTATAATGATATGATACGGTGGCAATAAGCCATCACCAACACCGAAACACATTTGGCAAGGTCATGAATAAATGTGCACTGGTTCACTTTGGTGCAGTTTTAGCTCAGCCAAATTTTAGCTGGCACCCATTCCAAAAATTTCATTAAATCCACCACTACTCCATATGGGACCTAGATTTGGTTTAGTGTGTCAGTTATTTGGATGTTACCCTAATTTTTAAAACTTGATTAAGACACAAAAATACTATTCCGTTTTGAACATTGCATTTAACTTGATGGTTTCCCCGATGAATCATTAAGGTTATGAGAAGAGAAACACATATTGAGTGTCTACTTGTAATGCGTCATGCCGCATTTATTTTGCCCCATGTTTTTGGTTGAAGTTGGTAATTCCGGAAATGTTTACCAAATTAGACAATCTTCCATTTATTGGTTCCAACTTTCTTGAAATGGAAACATGTCCGGCGCAAATTACCACATTTTTCCACCGAGAAAGTCGAGGTCGGGTCGAGTAATGTGAGATGGGCACTATTGCTGGACCCGGGTGGTGGAAGAAGCTGCCAGTGACTCTACCTAATTTAATTTTGAGATACAAAGGCAAAACTGGCAACGGAATGAAGAAGTAAAAGGAGTGAGAGTTGGACTTTTTGGAGTCAAGTGGGCCATACAAGCAAGAAATGCCATCCCATACATACGATTTGTCCCTCTGACTGAGGATGAGAGGGGCCCTTTCATAGTCGAAGCAATAATCCGAACAACCACCATCACATCCTTTTGGCTGGGAGAAAGATGCCGAGTTTAAGCACCACCACATCACATCCCATCGGTTTACAGAAATTGTGTCGTGTTCACTTGCAACAACTGATCCTAATCCTAATCTAATTTTAGAGTTTTTTACTTGGTCTCTCTCTCATCCGAGCCAACCAGGCTAATTCAGAGTTTGGGAAGAAGCATGGAAGAAGAGTCAAAAAGTCGGCTCTAACTAGCTAACGAATAAAACGAAGTTAAAAGTAGTGTGGCCCACTACACCATCACATACACATTCCGTCCGTCGGTTGGTCGTCTCCTGTGAAAAGTTGTTGGAACAAGGAAGCTTTCATGAAGAATGTTTTAAACTTTTATGGTTTGACTTGTGTGCAAATAATTTTAGGAAATTTTAGAGAGCGCCAAAGATAAAATAAGTATTCTCCTTGTTTGATGCCCTCCCCTCTCCAGCGATATTTAAGTTTCATTCAGCAGGGATGGAGAGTATATTTAATGGAAATGTATTCAAACAAGCCTTCTCCTGATCTCATGATTCCTCTAAAACTCCGTCAAGACTTTCATATTTACTGTGCAGTGTGCTAAACAAACTGCTCGTAGGTTGTTGCGAACAGTCTTTTAAACTTTGTAAACCTAATTCTTTTTCTTCTTTTCTCCACATTTTGTCTTTCGGAGATCTCCTCTGCGTTGTGTGTTGTTGTTGGTGAAACCCATGAAAAATAGAGTGATGTTCTTTTTGCTTCATCTTCTTCAAAGTGGAAGTAGGTTTACCGAAGCTATGTTTGCTGTTTCTGTTTGTCTGAATCCTGATGGGGTTACCCGGTATCGGTGGATATAGATGTGTACGTATGTATGTACATATGGCTGATTTTCTGCTCCTGCTGCCGCTTACGTTGCGTTAGATCCATGGATTGGATTGGATGTGGTGGAACCCGTTTTTGGCCCTTTGAGTTTTGAGCTCTTTCTCTCCTTTCTCCAATGTCTTGGCTGTGATCCAAGTAGTGTGTGTGTTGTTAGTCCGGCTACTCGGACGTGGGTGGTGGTTGGGTAGAGCTGGCTGCTGCTGTAGTGTGGATTTGTTGAAAGGAAGGAAAGAATGAGCCGCAGCAAGAAATGAACTCGTGTTGTGTGTGGATGTGGATGTGAGTTTTGGTTTTAAAGTGGTCTCTTTTTGCCTCTCTGTAGTCTCTCTGTTGTTGCATGTTAGTTAAGTCATAAGCAGGTCTAACAGCAACCAACCCCAATTTACGTAACACTTATGGACTGGGTTCTGAATACAAATATGATACTCTGCTGTTCACTCCTTTTTCCTGTATCGTAAATAAGCCGACAAACTGAGACTAACTAACCGATGTGTTTCCACCAGCATCACTATTCCACCACGGTTGTTATTCTACGCTTGTTCTCTGTTGATGTTATCTCCTATCGACCGACCTGATTGCACAAATGATGTCCTTCTCCTGGGAGAGACAGAGAGAAAGAAGTAGTGTAGCCGTGGTGGGACTATGTAGCAGGATGCAGTATTTATCAGTGGCAGCAGTACGGAACGTATGGATGGATGTAGAGGAAAGGTATCAGGTACGGACACACCGGAGAAGAGGACTAAACATAACAAAGTTAACGTAATACAAATGTTGGTTCTGTTGAATTTAAAATTTGCTTATTTCGTTTGTTTGTCTATTTGCACAGGGAAATGAGGAGCAAATTACGTTAGTTTACCAAAAACAATCATCTTAGCCGTCTTCATGGCGTCCAACTTGAAAGTAGAAACTCTGCAGAGCCTGGAAATAGGAATGAAGAAAGATATATAATACATAAGGGCATGGACTGTGTAATAGATTCACAAAGAATATTTGCATTTCCGCTTGATGTCATTTGCTAGAAGCGGGAGGAGGAGGAGAAAGAGGTTTTCTGTCCTTGTATCAACTTACCAATCTCCTGTTAATTCGGTCGTTGGGTTGGTAATTTTAAGAGCTCTGTGACGATTCCAATCTTCGTCAGACGCTACATAATCTAAGTCCAGACGGTTGCGAAGAATCCCAAGTCCAACGGGTTTTTGGCCTGCCACAAAATTATAAGTATTGAGTGATCATTATCTAAATTACCTGCTAAACCTGGTTTTTTGTGCACGAAAAATTGTTTTAATTGATCATTATCTAAATTATCTAGTAGATAAATTAAGAGATGACTTATACATATATGGTCAAATGAATTGTGTCGGTAAAAGATACAATGACGATATAATTAATCATTAGAATCATTGCATACCGTAAATCCATTGGTAGACGTAAGAGGGTCCTCGGTTAAAGAACCACTTGACCACAACACCTGTCTTGTGTTCATCCTCCTCCTGCATATTATTGCGATATATTAATACAATTGCATAGAGAGTGCAAATCATGAGACAACCACGATGGCTGTAGCTACATAAATATTTTATGAAACAGAAAAAACGAATGTTTCCACATTTAAAAAACAAGATTAAAAATAACTTACCAGCGTGAAATCACAGTCTAGAATTACGGGCTCATGTGTTCCGTTGAGGACATTTTGTGGAACTCGAAGCTCCGTAATTTTCACGGAGCAAACTAATCCTGCAAATTAGAGAAGACAACATGTGTTATTGTGGAAGAAGAAGAAGTAGACGAAGCGAAGAATTTATCAGTGTCTCCACCACCGATGACGATGAGATTGGGTACGATAAGCCCACTCAGCCAAACCAACCAACCGACTTACTACCCAACTAACCTATCCCCTCCTCCTCCTGGTGCGACAACAATAAATTATAGTGGATTAACAGTAATTGAATAGCTCCAAGCGGATGGTGCTCTCTTAAATTGATCTGACTTTCTCCTCATTTCCAACTATTTTGTCTTGGAATGCTCATTAATTATTTTATCAGAGTTTTCTTCCCTATACGTTTTACGTCGAACGAGTCTGTGCGTGTGTGGCGAGGATCTGCCTGTGTCTGTCTGGCGAATTTCTGTGAGTAGCTCTTTCACACTTTCCAATTTGGGATTCCCAGATTCCTCACAGGTTATCAATTCAGTCTCGAAGGGGTTTAATCAAAACACCTACGAAATCAATTTTACTTAGATGGAACAAAACCACCATAACAAACGATATTGAAATTGATTGATCTCTTGGAAATTTAGTTGGACCTTGGTCCGCATCCATCTAAGGCTGTACATATACTTGGCCATTGCCTTCCTTCCTCTCTGATGCTCCTCTCCAGTGGGAATGGTATGCATGTGCTCTTCATTGAGGTGAGGTAGATGGGGAGAAAGTGAGGTGTAAATGATTTGATTTCACAACATCCAGTCTGCCTGTCCTGCTCTTGTGTGTATTTATATGTGCATACGTACTATAGCTCAATGATTAGATGGATGATAATGCCCTGGCTTGATATTTTGCAACGCAACACTCACATTATAATTTATCACAACAAAGTGCATCGCACAACCCATTTTCCGATCTTGTTTTAGGGAAGGTGGTGATGATAGAAGCAGGCAAAAAAGGGATGTGGTATAACCAAATAAATACTCTCACAAACTTGTTTTCCTGTTGAGAAGGGTGGGTCTGACTGACTGATGGCATGGCTCTTACTCGGGATATGTACATAAGTAGCCGTATGGCATATTTCGAGTTGTTTATCAATACATATAACACCACTTTGGTTGGGAAATCAATCCCATTTTTTACGGTATAGAGAATACTTGATATCAACGAGGGATGTTCATGTAGTTTATGCTTTCTTGGAAATGAAATTTATCCTTCCGGGCGGTGGGCATTTATGCTCTGCATGGCCTGGCACTTAACAAAATTGGAATTCACACTTTGAGATTCATCCATCGATCCCCGAACAACAAGCCCTTTGCCACCACGATATATTTATAACCACGCCAGCAATCCATCCACACCACGAATGACGAGGAGAGTTTCATTAAATAAAGAGAAGTGGTAAGAGTCACTACTACTGTACTAATCAGCGTTTGCACTCCACCTCACCCGATCTCGTCACATCACATCATTCACACCTACACCCTAATCCCCACGTCATTTCTTATTAATTGATGGGCCCACTGCTAATAGTCAAGTCGACTGCATGCAGTGCTTCATCGGGATGACAGCGGAGCAGCCAAGAAGGAAATTACTTTCGGGAATTCTGATTCTCAACAATATAATCTGCTGTTCACGACGACCAACAAACTTAATATGTACATACGCAACAGAAGCCAACGAATTTCTATACCGGGATGTAATTTGTATCATACTTTCACTTCAGTAGTTGCAGTAATATTTCATCCGAAATGCTTCATTATTAAGCCTCGTATGGGAGCAGCATCGATGAAGATTTGTTTGGAGGGGACGATTATTTGATCGTAATTTACTTAAAAAATAGAATTTCCATTAAGCGCATCATTCCCCACCTAATAGGGCGTAAAAGATGGGAAACAATTTAATTTATTGGTACACATCAAAGAGAAAAATGATTCATTTCTCGGAAATAAATTCACCGTGAAAAAAACATTTAATGGATAAAGACTTCATGGCTTTTGGCATAAAATTCGTGCTCCATTAGGAGGACGATGGACGACGACATAGTCTCTCACAAACGTCACCCGCATAAAATCTAGATCGGCAAAAAAAAGTGCCAGCAAGCCAGGCCCATCGACCTTTATCGACTTGAGTGGCATCATGGAGTAAAAACACCGTCATCACCACACTATGCGAGAGAGGCGAACAAAAACTCATCATAATTTTGATTCAGATTCAATGGAGAGTTTTACCCTGCTTTCTCCGTGCTAATGCCAACTCGACTAAAAGGTGTTTGAGCCCGGAGAGTGCGAGGGTGAGAGAGAGTGAGGAAAAGGGAAGATATATTGTGAAGAAATATCGGTTTTGATGGCAAACCATTACCACCATTCGCACAGGACGAGGAAACTATGCCATCACCGTGTACCACCAACTGGGATACCGGAGGAGAAAGCTGGTAGGCTAAATTGAGTGTGGTTTTGGTATTGGCCTGGTCGGTGGTGGGTGTGTGTTGGGTGGTTGGATGATGATGGTGAAGGAGCCACCAGGAAATCAGTCTGGGAATTTTTTGTTTATTCAAAGGGCTCAAGACATTAGACAGAGACATATCGGTTTCTGCCGTTGCCTGTAAGTATTCGCAATTCGGGTTGGCTCATCCCATCCTGAGACCCAAAACGAGGGAGTGGAAGCCTTAATGCATCTCAGCATAAATAGGGTAAGTCGAGTGAATGCATTTTATTTTCATCACGTCATCCCACGTCTTGTCGAGTTTATGTCCAATCTACCGCATCTGAAATTTTATGCATCGTTGTCCTTTACGCCGTACCGTTTATGATGAATTTCCCTTTCCTTCCAGCTCACTACCACGCACGTTGCATAAAAACGCTAATATTTCAGGGTTGTGTGTGCATGTATGGCACCGATATCTTAACGATATACACACACACACACACAAAAACTGGATGTTTGTAAAAAAAAAAATAGATTTTATACTTATGCCTCTTTATTGCTTCGAGTACAACATGGACGTGTGTGCAGAGTTGTAGTTCCCTGTAGACAAAATTGAGGATAAATTCGTCACTGACAGGTACTGATGACAGGCGCTTATTGTCCCAGCGGAGGAAATGTCGGGTGCAGATATGAAGGAAACTTGGGATTAGCATGCATATAAATTATGGAAGTAGTTGGTAGTGGTAGAAAACGAAACGTTTTACCAAATTACATAGGAGAGGAAGAATTACTTTGTCAATCACACACATGCAGATTACGTATGTACAGGGACATTCCAGAGCCTGGAAACTTTCAATATTCCAAATTTTCAAACTCTGTTGTAGACGTCATATGAATTTTTTTGAACTGCACATTTTTTTATGAAATTATTGACACCATGTACTGGACTCTACGTACACGATGAGTTTGAAAAATTACCTCGATGAATGAAATATTCGCTTATGGTGTGCTCAAAATTGAATTATGATGCAAAAAAACCAGTGTATCATTAAATTGATTGGAGATGATGTTGACAGAATTTAAAAATATGTGGTGGCGCTATGTAATAACTGGAGTTGACTTACACGCGTACTGCATAAAAACAATCTGCACCTGGCACATTTCAAAACGTAGTAAACAAACCGTCATAACGGAAATCTGTTTAGACAATTTTCTCAAGTTTATGATTTTAACGTGCTAAAACTCGCAATCATAATAGACTTTTTACGCATGGGGAGGAAAAAAATTCAAGTGTGTGCAGTGTCGATCTCCAGTTGAAAACTTTGTTCCACCAAGTTCCAGCAGACCATGGGAAAGAATGCCATTCTCGAGCTCTCTCCTCCGCCGACTTCTCTATTAGCTATTTGTGCATATGTGCATCACGGGAGAACAGAACTCATGGCAGAACATTTGGGGTGATTATTTATTTACTTGAATGTCAGTGTCAGTCAGCTTGGATGGCTGGAAACCCAAGCAGAGCCAACAGATTTCCATTTAAGCCCATGAGATTAGAAAGTTGGGAAAAGAAGTTTAAACAAACAATTAATTTTTCTTGAAACAAAACAAGTCAGGCAGTCAATAATTCTAACCAGATGAGAAATGATAATATTTCCTTATGAACCTGCCTAAAATAATCTTTTCTGATTTCTCCCATAAAACGGAACCAAATGTGCAGAACATATTCTAAAGTAGTAATTTTATTAACTCAAATTATGGACTGAAAATTAATAATAAGTTTCTGGTCATTATCAATTGTAAAATTAATTTTAATAACATTTTCACCTAATTCTTGATTCATCATACGGTTACAAGGAAAGCACAAAAGTTGAAATTTGACAATATAACATATTTCAATAATTTGTGAAATTTGTTGATTCATAGAAAAGAATGGAAAGTCTCTATACTTAATTGAAATGAATGAATGGCCAACTTGTGAAGTGATGGTCAGCTAGGACAAATTTAATACTACTGAACTGAACGTAGAACTACGTACTGGGGGAAATGGGATGATGGGAAGTGGTTGATGAGAGTTAATTAGACCGAGAAGTAGAGAATTGCTGCTACTCATCTTCCTTCTTCATCTTAATAATAATGAGACCGAACAATGGACGCAACCACTCCAACAACCACCAACCAACCTCATTCAAACAAAATCAATTTCGAGCTTTGTGTAAAATCATTCAAAAAATGTGATGTCTCACCACCATGGAGCATCAACAAAAAAACAGCCATGTGTAAGAATGTTCAACCAACATGTAACCATTTCTCTCATATAAATCAGCATAAAATAATGTTCAACTATCCTTTCCAACTAACACGACGCAGAAATCGTAAAAAAGGAAAAAAGGCTGGAATTTGAAACGCACTATTATTATAGAATTACCTTCAGGCTGAAATGCAGACTGCATCCCACTCCAAAAATTTACTGCACAAAAAATTCAAAGGTGGCCGACACAAGAAGATCTGTTTTAGCCTGCAGAAACATAAAATCTGATCCGATGCGTAAAATTGCGTATTTATTCAGATGTTCACCAACGCTGGGCTGCTCTTGTGTGATGATATTCCATTT